AGAGTGGAGGCATGAGGACAGAACTTTAGAGTGGGAAGAAAAGCCAAGAAGAAGATGAAGAAGGGATGGTCAGAGAAACAAAAAGACTAGAAGGGGTCATAGAAACCAAGGATGGGGACAGTCAGCAGTACAGCCAGAAGGCTCTCGATAACTCTAGCTCAGGTTGATAACTCTAGTGCAGGTGCACTGCCCAGGCAGGATGAGCCCACTTCAACAGGCAGAGACCACTCTCTCCAGCTGTTAAGGGGAAGGGCTAGGTGGACAGGAGCTTAACTTACAGAAAAAGACTGTGCAACCACTGCAGAGGTTGAAGATCCAAGAGTGTGAAAGGAGACACTTGAATTTAACACCACCTGCAGCCTGCTGTATATGGAAACGAAGTCAAAGTGACCAAGTTTATGTAACTATTTTGATCAATATAGTTGCCTGGCAGCCCCTTGTAAGTTGATCCTAAGAGAAGATTTTGTTGTATTAAGTGGAAGGGCATTGTAAAAATAACTTTTTTTAAAAAAAAAATTTTATGTGTAGTCAGTCTCGGTGCCCAGATTATATAAGTGATTTTTCACAAGGTCACAGTGAAAATATTTGAGACTTTTTCCATAGGTTAGAGATTTTTATTTGATATTTCTACTGGATTATCTAAATTTTTATTTCAAGAAGTTTGTGCATTTTAACAGAGTAAAACAATGAAACATAGAAATTCCACTCCCCTTAAAAAGTGCCATTAATAATTTTATTCTCTTGACGTGGTCTCAGTGAAGGTCATCAGAGCTGAAAGGGTTATGGACCTGTATTAATTTTACATGAATTTCATCCTGTCGAAATAGGTCAATGTTTTCTTCTTTCCTCTATAATTTTTTAGTTTATGAGGCTTTTTCTTTTAGAGAGCTTTAGGCCAGTTCTCCTTTTTGCAAATTGCAACTTACAGCTTGCAAATTGCATATATCGTCTTTAGACTTAGCTTAATGATTATTATTTCAATGACTTATTTTATGGAGAAACTTGTAAATTGTTTCAACAGTCCCCTCCCTTTTGATTCTGGCCAGAAACTTGTTATGGGCTAAGCTTAGACACATGGCTCCTGTTGCTCATTCAGAATCAGCACTTTGCTACCACTTTGTGGCTCAAAGTTTTAGGATGTCTTATGACATATCAGGCGCTTGGAATATATCCGAGAGGGATCTGATTTGTTTCTCTATCTGCACTCTCCCCATTTTGTAACTTAACATAGTACCAATTCAAACCACTTGTGTGGCCTAGATCTAAATACTCCTGCACCTTCTCTTCCAGAGTTTTCAGAAAGTATTCTTCTTTACACTGTTAATGTAACTATTTTGTCACATTTTAGGAAAGGCTTCAGGAGGTGATTATAAAAGTACCTCAAGATCAGGCATTATCATGTCTTCCAGGGGTCTGTCAACACTTACTTGGTGTCCATCTATCAGTTGTATAAAGCTGGTTAAATAATTCAGTTACTTCACAGTGTATTACCTTGTCAATTCATCTTAGAGGTTCTAAAGGTGCTATGTTGAATTTTTTTTTGCATAAAATCTGTATAACATAAAATTAACTATTAAAAAAATGTACAATTCAGTTGTGTTTGGTATATTAACAACATTGCGCTACCACCACCTCTATCTAGTTCCAAAACATTTTCATTACCCCAAAAAAGACCCCGCAACCATTAATACTCACTCCCCATTCCTCTCCCTCACCCGCCCCTGGCAACCAGCATTCTGCTTCTGTCTCTATGGACTTGCCTCTTCTGGATATTTCATATAAATGGAATCATACAATATGTGACCTTTTGTGACTGACTTCTTTCATTCAGCATGTTTATAAGATTCACCCACATTGTAGCATCAGTACTTTATTCATCTTTATGGCTGAATTTCATTGCATGTATATACCAAATTTTGTTTCACAATTATGACAAAATTTTAAAATCTAGCATTGATGGCAATTCCCATAATGAAGATATCATGGTAATTCCTAATGGTGTACCATTTTGGGGCTGAACATCTGTCTATATCCTAAGGTTTCTGAGATAACCCTTGGCTTTGCCCACCCTCCCTTAAGGAGGCTATCAACTTTATAAAAAGATGCCAGCTTTATTTTTGTCAGCTTACTCTTGAGACCTATGAGATCTGCCCTAATTTAGCTAAATTTGACCTCAGAGAATATACCTTGAACCCTTTCTCTAGTTCCTTTCAAAGGCTCAATTTCAGGAAATAAAGTGTAAAAATATATTCCATGTATTTTCCTAGAATCTAGATCAGGATTATATACTACAGACCAAAGACTAGATTCCTGTGTTTGTAAATAAAGTTTTATTGGTGCACAGCATGTCCACTAATTTGCAAATTTCCTATGGCTGCTTTTCTGCAATGGCAGAGTAGCCCCAGTAGAGACCAGTGACTCCTGATCTAGCTTATTGGTTTAAAGTCTGAGTTCCACTTTCCCCTACCCTCCAAGGAACCAACAGATGGGCTTAAACATTCTGTGAAAACCCTGAAATTTTATGCAAAACCACATACACAGGTGTGTACCATATATGTTTTCCTGGAGAGAGGATCCGTAAACTTTTATCAGATTCCAAAGGGACCCAAGACCCCAAATGATCATCATTGTTCTAAGTAGCCAAGATGTTAATTTTCTGTTACCCTAGATCAGCAGTTCTCAAACTTTATAGTCCCAGGTCCCCTATGCACTTTAAAAAATTATTGGGACCCCCCAAAAAGCTTTTGCTTATGTGGGTTATAGCCATCATATGTACCACATTAGAAATTAAATTGGAAAGCTTAAAAATATTGGCATACTTAAAAAAAACAATAGACCCATTTACATGACATTTTTGCAAATATCTTTAATGTCTGGCTTAATAAAAGGTTCTCATGTCTTCCGCATTCAGTCTGTTGTGATATCAAAAGCGGTATAGCCTCTGGAAGCCTCTGCTGTACACCAATGAGAGTGAGAAACTCAGAGAGTGGCTTATGAAGATAGTTTTGTTATCACGGACCCTCTGAATGGTTTTAGGACACTAGGGCCCCCAGACCATACCTGGAAAACAGTGTATTTGGACTGCATTATTGTATTCCCTTGCTGAATTGTACTCTGCTATCTTGGCATCAGCATCCATTGAGGGATGCCTTAAGAAAAAACTCTGGAAGCTTCCTCTGCTGTTTATTGTTGGCATTTTGGGGAGGAGTTGGTCTGGTACAAAGGGGACACTGCTCATTGCCCTTTTATGAACAGCCACAGGAGACACTTCCTTCAGGTTTCAGTGCCAGGAAGAGCTGTGCCACTTCTGGGCCACTGGTAGGTTTTAAATCTTATAAAAACAGATTTTCTTAACTAATCCCATTTTATTTTTTGCTTTGGCAACTCAAAGCCTAATTTTCAGCTCACTTTCAGCTCTTGTATATGCTATGCATGTCTGTATCATATCCCTGGCTTTCTTATTTTCCTCTTTTTCCTCCTCTCAGTTTCTTCATTTATATCTTGTTTTCCATTTACATATTTTTGTAAGTTATAATTCTGTGTTTCTGCAAACTGTCTCTTTTTTTTAACAAGATCGAGTATAAATTCTTTTAAGTAAAACTTTTTCACTTATGTGCAAAGCATTAGCATCTCATAAATTATAGAGTCTGTTTTAATTTACAGAAATTAGTGAATCACTTTTATTTCTGGTGTCATTTTCATCAGGTTACTTTAGATAAATAGAAACTTAACCATCCTAAATCTGGATGTATTAGGATGTTATTTTGTTTCATTATATACTATATATAGTACAGTTACTTGGCAGTTTTGTTATTTACTATCTACTCACAGCCTCTGCCCTATTTTTCTATTTTATTTCTGTCTCATGTACACAGATATTCTTGTTATTAGTATCATCATTTAGTCATTAATAGGCTTTTTGTGCCTGCTTTGGAATTTTCATAAATTATTTTTAACGCTTTTTAATTCTGTGTATATGTTTACATCAATGTGTTTCTGCTGATTTTAAACTGGGAAAAACTTAAAACAATGATATTTCCCAATTGGGAAGCCCTCCTCTTGTTCCTTAGAGCCTGAAATTAACTGAAGCCAAAGAAGACCCTGCAGATGGTCAGTGGTGATGTGGTCAGGCCTTGGGTCACACATCCGGCCTCATTTCATCAGGAGGCTGCATGTGTGTTATAAAAAAGAATTTTACTGAAACTTAGAGAAAACATAATATGTACTTAATGCAAATTGAACTAGGTGGAGATCAAATTGTATTTTATATAAAATATTAATTATGATTTTTTGAAGACTAGATTTTGCATATTTGTTACTATATAGATGCTGTTGTTTCAATTTTCAGAAGACTGTGCAGCCTTTTTAACTGATGAAGAACAAGGCTTTGTCTTCCTGTAATTCTGAAGTGAAGTTGAGTCACCCAACAAGAAAAAACTATGTCCAGTTAAAATATAGGCATTAGTAATAGAATGCTGAAACAAACCTCTGGATTGGCTTCATTGGCTTTCCTGCTTCTTTTGCATCCCAAAGCATAAGCTTAAATCATCTCAGAAGGACAAGGTCCGCCAGTTTATGGCATTTACTCAGGCTGGTGAAAGAACTGCCATCTACTGCTTAACACAGAATGAGTGGAAACTAGACGTGGCCACTGACAACTTCTTTCAAAACCCAGACTCATTCCACAAGGAATCCATGAGAAACGCAGTGGACAAGAAGAAGCTGGAGCAGCTGTATAACAGGTACAAAGGTAAGGGGCGACAACAAGGGCAGACAGAGAGAACTCATTTTTATCTCTAGGGAACAGAACGAATGTTATATTTCTTGAATTTCTGATGCCATTTTCCAAAGGCCTCAAATATACTGTTCCTACTCTTCCTGCAAAATCCAATCAGTTTAAATGGAACTGTGATTGTTAATCTGTATCGGTTGCGGGTAGGATGAGAAGAGAGGAGTCTAAAGATTAATTGGTAGTGTGCTCTCCCTCACTTGTTCTGGGCAGAATCTGATGAGTTGACCACCAGTGGCAGGGCAGCCATCAATGGCATAGGGTCGTGGCCAGGTGGCTACACTTGTGAATACAGTGTTTTTTTCCCAAACAATTCCATCTAGGCTAGAATATTTGTGGTGAGAAAGTTGTTTAAGAACAATACCAAGTCATAAAAATAATTTGGTCTTGAGGGTTAAAGTCATCCTTCTCTTAACAGCATAGTAGTGTTGTGACCTGAAATAACTTTCGCTGTTGCATAAGCTTTGGGGGAAAGCTCTTAGCGAAGAAACCTTGGTGTTGGAGATTGGGAAAGTTGTTATTTTTATTGAAATCAGTACCTAAAATGGAGCCTCCCTATCAAAATACAGTCATAGTGCAAAAATAAGCCTGTATAATGAATATATACAAATCCAAATCACTCAGCAGGCTTTATAATTTCATATCAAATGTCAAATCTGTGCTGTAATGGGAGAGGTGACAATGATTCAAGAGTTGATTTATTTTTTCTTTCTAGCAGTTTCTAAGGTTAATCCTTATATTTCCAAAACTTAAAAAAAATCAACCCTTATTTAAACATATTAACCCAAACAGAATAACTCCCTTGGTTTTAAACTTGGCTTTAAATTCTTATTTATGTTCATTTTTTACTTTTGAGAATACCGTGTGTATATTTTGATCTATTTAGATCTGGAAAATGAATTGAAAATTGCATTCTTTTTTTTTTTTTTTTTAATCTTGATCCAAAAACATTCTGTGGTTAAAAAAAGACTTGTAGTTCTCGAAAAAATGAACTTTGTTTTAAATTAAGCTTTAGTACACTTTAAATTTGTTTGGCTTAGTTAATTGTTGACCTAATTTTATAAGTTAGATGCTATGCAGATATTTTAAATTCTTCAAATATGTGTAACTGCCTTAGAAAAAATACTTTCATGTAAGTGAAAATTGTCATTTTTCTTTAGTCTAAACTCTATCCCTTCATCATTTAATATTATCTATGCAATTCTAGTCATTTAAAATAGATATAAGGTACAATCATCTTGGGTTCAAAAAGTACATATATAGTTCAAAGACTTCACAAATACAATATTGGTTATTACATTAATTTATACAAATGATTGAATACTTCCAAAATTACTTTAAAATAGTATTATTGTATATGAAATTTATCAAGATGACTTATTAGGTGAGAGCATTGTAGACCAATTTTTCTATTATCCTGAAGATCTATAACATTAAGAGCACAGAATTGAATAGGAAGACAAGTGAGAGTGTTTTACAGAACCTTTGTCCTGTAAACCCATGGCTACAGTTGTCCTCTTACTAATACTTTTGAAATAGTATTAGTAGAATAGAGTTGGAAGGGTATTTGTGGTTTCATTCATTTAACTGTCAATTTTTCTTTGTTGTATGTGTGTGTGTGTGTGTGTGTATGTGTGTATATGCACGTAACATGTATATATATAATAGTTTGTAATACTTAAATGACTAAAGTTAAATCTTCTATGACAAAAAAAGTTATCATACTTAATCTTTATTCGACCAAAGGAGCTACAAGTTTTCTGTTTGCATCATCCAAACCAAGTTAATACATACGTTATGATAATATATTATTACAATGCACAAAACCTTTTTGAAATTACTAGGTCTAGTTTGGTGAGGTCTTGCTGGAGTTCTTTTAATAGATTTTCTGTTTGATTTTCTGATGGCGAAATGCTAAGTTTCTTTATATTTAAACCGGAAATGGAGGGAGAAGCCTGAATTTCTAAGCTGTTAAATGTGGATGCATAAACTAAATGATTTTGAAAATAAGTATTGTATAGTAGCATTAGAACTATAGCAAATGACTTCACTTTTAAAAGAAAAACATCAATCTTTTGCTTTGGTGGGGTTGTGATAGAAACTTAAAATATTATAACTACTTTACCAAGGAAGTATTTTTTGTAAAAATTTGCCTTTGGGCAAACTAAAATTTTGTAAACTTGAATTTTATTTTACTTTAGGGAAATTAAATTTTTTTTTAATGACGAAGTCTTCTCAAAGAAGTTTCAGTGATTTTTTTCTGCAAAAGCCCAGAAACCTAGAAATAGGAGTATTTTCTGGATAAATGATTATTTTGTCTTTCACATAGAGTAGAAAATTGCAGTCTATTGATTGACGTATTTGAAACACTCTTGCTAGAATTATGTAGTAGGTGTATGATTCTAACAACCCATTTTAGTAATACTTTCCAAAATAGTGTAACTTCTTTTTCCCTTGATTTTTACTATAGACCCACAAGATGAAAATAAAATTGGAATTGATGGGATTCAGCAGTTTTGTGATGATTTAAGCCTAGATCCTACTAGTATCAGCGTTTTGGTTATAGCATGGAAATTCAGGGCAGCAACTCAATGTGAATTTAGCAAAAAGGAATTTGTAGATGGCATGACGGAGCTTGGGTAAGTAAATTGATCTCAATTTAAAGTTTAAAATTTAAGTTTAAATTTTTTCAGAAAGGAAGATACTTTCAACAATTATTTTTCAGCAAACAATATTAATTTCATATCAATATAAATTCTTTGTGTACCTTGTAAATTTCCTATCTACATGCACTATATTAAACCTTTAAGCCTTTGTTTTCTCTTTAAATTCCAGTTAAAGTTTTGTTTAATAATTTTATTCATATTAATACTTTTTGTAACTTATTTTTTACTTTTTAATTTTTTTTCCCAGTTTTGAATTGACAGTAAATATCAGGGTGTTTTTGTTTTCAGCCATTCTGTTTAGTTTATAATACTGTATACTAAATGTGTAATTTAATATGTTACTATATTAAACATTAATAAAATGTGATTTTGATTTTTGCTTATAATACTTCACTGTTCTATCTATATGGTTAGAATAAAAGCTTCATTAATAATGGGATGTTTCTCACTTGTCAGATAAGTCAGAGAAGTCAATAAAAGCACGTAACATAAATGTCTTTTAATCATTAAGCTTACTGAACTATTTCATGAGGTCATGTAAAAGCCAACTTGCTTGACTTGCTGATATTCTGATATTTCAGTGTTGACAACTTAAACTAGCTTATTTTTAGCTCTGAAGGAGCTTGACAGCCTTAGGTAAACATGTTCTTAAGGCATGTGCTTACAGCATTCCGGGTAAAAAATAGAACATTTGTTGTTTCCACTAAACCGATGAATCTGTTATATTTGTCAGCCTTGTCTAGACCCACAAGATGAAAATAAAATTGGAATTGATGGTATTCAGTTTCTACAAGACTTCCTTTATTTCTAGTGATATCTTACCATATTCCTTGCGCTTGTATGAAACCAACCAAACAAAATTGAGCGTTACTGTGATGAAATAACATATTTCTTCAGGTTCTTTGCACCTAGGAAAGCCTAGATGAATTACCAGTAGTTTTAGAATGGAAAATAACCTAATAAAGCAGCATTCCATTGGCATTATACTATATATTATCCCATCTGTTAAAATCTCCCCAAAATAAGACATTTTGAAAACAAGTGCTTCTTATAGAAACACTGGCATTTCTTAGGCATTGTCTAGAAATATGCTGTCCAAGAAAATTTGCAGAATTTCTGTCTATTATCTTATCGTCATAACTTAAACATACTTTAAATATTTTCAGTATGAATCGTCCCAAAATGTGTTACATAAGTTCATGCTCTCTTCTATGGAGTATATAGAATGTAATTTAAGATTACAAGTTAATGATGGTTAATGGTACTGCTCTCCACATCTCACAGGGTAGTTAAAGGTGAAAGCATTTTATGAATATTAGAGTGCTATATACTAAATGAAAATATTATTACTATATTAGTAAAGTATACTGTAGAGATAACCTCAGTGCTTTTAGGAATGTAAAGGACTATTGGCCTCTAGTACTAAATAGCACTAAACTTGAAAACATACTTTGGCTTTTGTGTCTGCTCAATTATATTTTTTAACACTATTTTTCTGGCCGTTAACTGTTGACTGTGGTTAGAGTATCTGCCTTTACAGTTAATCCCACATCCATTCATTGGAGGCTTGAGGATTCTTAAGTAGACTGAATAAACTTTATGAAATACCTTGACATCTTTGTAAAAACAAACAAACAAAAATGATTGTATGTGTGGCTCTATTTCTGGATTCTCTATTATATCCCATGGATCTAATACCACATAATCTTGATTTTGGAGCTTCAAGCTTTGAGTTTGGTCAATCTGCAGGGCACAAGGTCAGCAAACAAAAATTGATATTTCAAAACACTGAATGCAACAATGCAACAAAACAAAGTGAATTTAAAATATATGTCATTTTCAGTAGGATCAAAAATACAAAACACCTAAAATAAATCTAATTAAAGATGTGTGCTACCTCCACAGAGAAAACAACTCACTGAAAGACAGGAGACCTGACTAGTGGGAGAAATATATCTCATTCATACGTTGGAACATTTAGTGTTTTATCCCTAAATTTATCTGTACATTTAATGTAGTCTCAGTGAAAACCCCAATAAGTAATAGATTTATGTATGTGTAATTTGACAAGCAGATTTTAAATTTAAATGAATATGCACAGTCAAGAATAGCCAACAATTCTTAAAGAAAAAAAGAATGAGAGGGAAGATGTTCTCTACCAGATAATTAGGACTTTTCAAGCTACAGTCACTAAGACTACACAGTATTGAGTACCGGAATAGATAAACAGACCAGTGGAACAGAATGGAGGGCCCAGAAACAAATCTGTATATATAGGTATGTTTGATTTATGGCAGAAGTAGCACTTTAGAGAAGTAGAGAAAGGACTTCTTTTTAGTAAATGGTCCTGGGAGAATTGGCTAGTTATATGGGGAAAAAAAATTCATCTTGATCCCTGCCACACACCTACATAAAAATGAATTCCAAGTGGATTATAGATCCCCAGTCTTTTAGAGGCTAAAAACAGAAGTCTCTAGAAGACAATGTAGGAGAATATCTTTACGGTTATGTAGTAGGAAAAGTTTTAAAACATCACACACACAAAAAAAACCCACTATAAAGAAGATTGATAGTAGTAGTACTATACTAAAAATAACTACCAAGAAATACCATCAAGGAAATGAAAAGGCAGTCCATATTCTGAAGTACTTTAAAAATATTTCACTGATTATGTGATGAACACACAATGCAATTTATGTGACATATTGTTGAAATGTACACTAGAAACTTATTTGATTAGGTCACCCCCAATAATTTTGTTAAAATACATTACAGTAAAAAAAATACTACACTGACAAAAGACCTATATTCTTTATATATAAAAAATTCCTATAAAACAATTAGAATAAGATAACCTAATGGAAAATAGGCAAGAGACTTGAACAGGCACCTCACGAAAGAGGATTTCCAAATGGCCAGTGAAAATACGAGAATGTGCTCAATCGTATTTATTGGAGGAGTGCAGATTAAAACAATGAAATAGAACCTCACTACTCACTCTCTAGAATGGCTAAAATAAGACAGTCACAAATATTAGTGAAAATGTGAGGCAACAGGAACACTAGTATACTGCTGGTGGGAGTGTGAAGTGAGACAATCACTGGAAAACTATTTGACCTTGCTTATGAACTTGAAAATGCTCAGACTCTGTGACCCAGTTGTTCCACTCTTAGGTATGCCTACCATAACTCATTCATGTTTTTGCTTGGATATATGTATAGAAACATGTTGAACAACATTCTTTATAACCAGAAAACTAAAAAAAGTCAAAATATTTATTAACAGTAAATATATAAATTATAAAATATGAATATAATGGAATGGTATATGAGAATGAAAATAAACCAACCAGAGCGACACATGTCAGCATGAATGAGTCTCACGGATATAATGTTGGCAGAGAAAGCCAGACACAAAATAATATACACCATGAGTTCTCATTTTTTATAAAGTTTAGAAACATATCCAACTAATACTGTCGAGGAATGCTTGTTGGGGTGATGGTAGGCAAAAAGAAGAGCAAGGAAGCGACCACATGGAGGAAGGGGGCTGTGATGGGGAAGAGCATGTGGCTGCTCCCCAGGCGCTGCTGCCTGCCCATTCTTGATGTGGGCGGGCTGCACTCGGGAGCACCCATGACATTCCCTGAAGCTGTGCATTTGTGCTTCTGAGTGTGTTCATGGACTTCGTGGTGCTTCTAGCTGCTCCAGGACTTTCCGTTGTCTTTCCTCAGCCCTGCTCTACTTGGATAAATGAAGTGCCACTTTTGTTCTCTTCCTTGCTGTGCAGTCAAAATAAAAGTGACAAAATTTATGTTTCTCTATTCTATATACTGCTTTAAAGACTATTTAATATTCTTAAAGGTTACTGACTTTGGAGGACAATCCGATTTTAAAACAATAGAGTTGTGTTTTATCATACTTAGATGTTTTAAATCTAACCTGCTGTAACGAAGAAACCCCTAGATACAATAGCTTTAGGGCTACAGGTTTATTTTCCTATTGTAGGACAGTACAGGGGTAGCAGTGGTAGGGGCTGGCAGTGTGTGACTCAGTTCTTTGAGGTCTTGTCACTGTCATCTCAGGGCATTTGCCTCTATGTGGTCAAAACCACAGAGTTAAATCATGTCCATATTCCAACTCACACAGAGGAGGGCAAGCAATTTTGGTTTTCAATTTTTTTCTTTTAATGACAGCTTTATTAAGAGGTAATTCACATGCCATACAATTCACTTGTTTATAAGTGTACAAATTAGTGGTTTTAGTGTATTCACAAAGCTGTGTGGCCATCACCACAATCAATTTTAGACTATTTTGAGTCCTTTTAGCTAGAGAAAGGAGCCCACCAGAGTTCCACCCTTAGACCCGAGTCTCAGGCTGCACCAAATTGCAGTGAAGCTGCCCAGATTGGTGAGGCATGTCTGCCACCCGTAACAAAGCACTCTTTCTGTCTCTTGGCACAGGTGTGACAGTATAGAAAAGCTGAAAGCTCTTCTGCCAAGATTGGAGCAAGAACTTAAGGACACAGTAAAGTTTAAGGATTTTTATCAGTTTACTTTTACTTTTGCCAAGAACCCTGGGCAAAAAGGTTTAGGTGAGTATAAAATTCAGACTTGTAAAAGGCCACATTACGATGAGATTATAAGTAGACAAGACCAATAGGATTTCAATCCTGCCTGATATAATGTTGTTGTTATTCTTTGCGTTTCTTTTTCTTTTCACTAATTTGCTCTACATGCAGACAGACCAGTTTGTACTTGAACACCTCAACCAATATCACTCACATTCTAGGTTTAAATTTTAAAATGTAAGCTAATTTAAATTTTAAAATGTAAGCTAATTAGCAAGTGCTCTGTGTTTTCTCATATTGCTGTCTAACTCACTAGTGAGTTAGAGAAGTCAGCAATTAATGTTGACAGTTGGTGTGTTTGTACTGCCTAGATGCGTGATCCCACCCATGGTTTTGCTAGGATTGGCCAGGTGACATTAACCCTGTCCCAGTCTGGAGACTTAAAGTTAACTTAGTCGAAACCAGTTCTGATGTGAACTGGATTATATTTCAGTCCAGCATACCTCATTTTATTGGGCTTTCGCAAATAGTGTGTTTTCATCAACATCAGGGCAAGACCCTCCACCAGCAAAAAGATTAGTACTCGCTGAAGGCTCAGATGATGGTTAGCATTTTTTAGCAATAAATTATTTTTAACTTAAGGTATGTACCTTTTTTTTTTTTACATAACGCTGTTGCACACTTAATAAACTACAGTAGAGTGTAAACATGTATTTATATGCTCTGGAAAACCAAAAATTTGTGTGACTCCCTTTATCATGATATTTACTTTATTTCGGTGGTCTGGACTGTACTTCTTTCAGAGTTGTATGATTTTGTTATATAACTTGTGTATTACTATATATGGTACATTGAGAAAAATTTTAACTTAAATATTTATTTTGAGTTTTTGGTTTATTTGAGAGTTTTATTCTGCTTAGTTTAATTTGTTCTGCCCTAAGTACTACATAGTTTATTTTTATTTTATCTCTTTGTAAAAATCAACCTGTATTGACCTACATTTTGTTGCCTAATATAATAGAATTATGTGTAGTTCATTAAAATTTCTTACATGTTTAGAGAGGGGAATTACATGGTCTTCTAAATAGGAATTAAACAAGTATATTAGAAAGTATGTTTGAAGAAAATTTCTTATGAATAAAAGCAATATTATAAGATGACCAAAATTAGGTAGGAAATCTGAAAAGGCCTTGAAAACTCATAGATAGAAAATTCCACTGCAAGCATTTGGCTTCAGGTCCTGATTTTACTTGTGCATGTTTGCAGGTATGTGTGTGCAGTAAACATTCTTATCCCTTTTGTCTTTCTGACATTCTTCCTTTCCTTCTCCTATCAACAGATCACAGGTGCAGATTGAGGCAGCGGGCACTTCTGTCTTAAATCAGGGAGGTGGACAGTAGGCATTTCTGTCTCAGATCAGGGAGATGGGCAGCTGCCTTTTCTTAGCACTCTTTGCCATAGCGGCGATTATTTTCTTTTTCTTTGTTTTTCTCTGGTATTGTGGTTCATTTTTACTCATGGTGCATTGCACTGTGATGAGTCTCCTGTCAGATTCCCTCTCTCTCTAGGCTGATCCACCATGCAAACAGGTTTCTTGCCTTGTATGCCACCTCACAGATCATACACCTCAGACCTGCCACCTCAGGAGCTGAAAAAGACCTCTGCCACAGGGTCCTGCTCAGGAATTTACTGGAATGGATTTGCTCAAAACTACGAAAGGTACAAGTGGGACAGCCACTGGAAAAATGTGGATGTATTTTTTCCTGTTGAAAGAAGCCAGTGGGCAAATAGAGGTCGTCAGTTGTATAAAGGTACAACAGCGAGGAGTTTCCGATGTCAGAGGGCTTTGCACATTCCCTACCTCGTCATGAGTTAGAGAGCCGAGGTCATGAAAAACATTTGTGGGACCCCACAGGAAGAGGTGATTCTGACACATTTGTTTGTCAAGAAAATGATGGCTTTCCTGTTTGGCCTGACATCAATGAAGAATCCTTTTTCTTAACCAAATGCAAAGACTAAAAGGAAAGGAGAGTCCATGACAGCACCAGGTCAACGTTTGAGCATGATCAGCGAGAAGAAGAAGCAGAAGCTGGATTTGGTCTGTTCTCATCCCCTCCCAGAGACCAACACATGGTCAGCCGACGGAGATAAGGGGACACGGGGCACTGCAGGTATAGCCCTGGTTTGCCCCTGGGCTCTCCGTGAGGCTTGTCAGGGCATTGCCTGAAGAAGGACTTGCCAGGCGCTTCCAGATGGACCATAAGGAGGAGAGACCAAGGCAGTGACACCAGGGCCCTGGTTAAGTTAGAATTTCAGATGATTCCAGTTGTGCTCATGCAGAGTGGAGAGTTGAACTCACAGTATTGTGCTCATGAGAAAATTTAAATACTTGGCATACTTTAAAAAAGTAATCCTTACAGTGCTACTCATCAGTGAGGGATAAAATTGGAGTGGAATAATAATAGCCTGTCACCCCAGCACTGCTGCCCTCAGCCTTGGACACACTAGTCTCCCATAGAAGACATAGAGTCTTCTCTGCCACTCAGATATCCAAATGCAAGACTGGTCTCGACAGTCGGTGTGGCTTTTGTTTGTGGGTGGCCACTTTTATCTTTCACCTTTTACTGGAAAGAAAGGTGAAAGTAAGCACATATATGGAAGCCAGGTGCCTTCATCTGATTCACACATGGCCTTACCCCCGTTTTATAAATAGGGAAACTGAGGCTGAAGTATAGAATAACATATCGAGGGGTGAACACAGGCTATGACAGCAGGATTTGGAGTCCACTCTCACCTGTTCCTTGTGTTCACACCTCCCTGTTGGGCGACCTGACATGGGCTGAGAGCCTAGGGCCTGGGGTGCGCTGGGAGTCTGCAAGTACAGGGGAGCAGAAGCATAGCATCCGATCATGCAGTCTCACTGTCATGGGCACCTGTAGGAAAAGGTCAGACCATCAAAGTAAGATCAGGTCTGTCCTGGCCCGTCCATCCTCTCCTGGTCACTCTGCTTGCCTGCCTTCTAGAGCTTTCTCTGCCAAGCTTCTCTGATCCATTCTTCCACCAGTTTTCACATTTAACCAACTCAGAGCCAAAGTATTTTCCATTCTGTCTACATCTTTCATTTTATATTATTCAGTTTCAACTTATTTCATACTATGCATATAGATTATATGAGCAAAATATATCACAATTTTAAAATTAAATTAGTGACAGTTCTGATTCAGCACAAATGACTTCACCTCAATTTTTAAAAGCAACAGACACTGACAAAACAATGATTTTCTCATGTGGTGTTGCTTCATCTGGTTGTGTCAAAGTTGGAGCCATTAAGAAGTGATGTCCTGCATCATTCACTCTGAGGACAGGAAAAGCTTTCTTGCAGTCTCAGAAAGCTGCTGCAGTGTGTCCTGACTGAGGACACATCACCTGGTACATGAGCTGCAGTGTGTCCTGACTGAGGACATGTCACCTGGTGTGTGTTCCCTGACTAGCATGTCACCTAGTGGTCAGGCCCAATGTTAAACTAGGTTACAAGGCTCGAGTGTCAGTCTAATTAAGAGATGGTGTGATTTTGGTTAAGGTAGCTATAATAGTCAGTTGTTAAGAGCATCGTCTTGCCTTGTATGTCATGCAATTATGAAGACATCAGCCTATGAACTTTGCTGTAATGGTGACAGAATAGCTAATTGGGAGACTGGGTGCTGAGTTCAACTCCTGACTTACCTGCTTTGCCTTCACGTAAAAATAACTCTGCACTCCATAGACCCAGCCACCTAATGACACTTTCAACCTCAGCTTTTTTTTTTTTATTTGATCTAGTATACCTTTATTTTTTTCAACTATAAAGATTTGTTTCTTTTCAGGAATCTTATAAACACCTAGAAGAAGTATACTTTAATTGTCATTTCCACTACAACAAGGATTTGGTGGCTGTCATTGAAGAATATTAGCATTCAAGGTGTGTAGTGACTCTCTGAGACAGGGACCATCTCTGTAAGAGGGATGAGGAAGTGCCAAAAACTTAGTCTTGTCCTAGACTGTGCTGTGGTACCTTCCTTAATTACCTGCTGTGCTATCTTGGGTTAGCAGCATTTAGATTGCCAACTCCTGGTTTGTTTAACAGTGTAAGTGGTGTTTTCTATTTTAATTATGTTAGAAAGACTAAGACAAAAATATAAAATGTTATTAGATCCTATAAGATGGCAAGTCAGATGCATCGCCATGCTGTCGGACAGAGTGGTTGAATTACTGTTCTTGTGGCAGTGAAGAGCCATACATCGTGCTGTGTTATTGGGAGGTGACAGTCAATAGCTGAGTCCAGAGGCCTGAATTCACTGGTTACGTTCTCTCAATCCCTTGTCATCTTTACCTTGTTTCTTTCTGATTAAAAGCTGTCCTCTTTTTTCACCTCTCTTTCTCTTAAGCCATTATCTGTTGAGTTTATTCCTTTTAGTTTAGGTATTTCTGAAGTGATTTTCTTTCATTTCTCATTCTTGAGCTTTGTCCCCTCATTTCTGAGTTTTTCTATTCTGATATATGTTCTTTCATGTTTTGTGTCATTTCTTAATGTCTGTAGCTTGTTTTGAACTGGAAGTCACAATTCCTATTGCTCTATTAGCATGTTTCCTGGCAGGCATTCATTTTATAGGGATATTTTGTTTGTATTGTTTTTTTTCTTAGGATGTTTTAAGAGATTTGACCTCAGGTTTTTTCTCTTACTCATTTCTTTGCAAAATTACCTTGCCTGGACTTTTAGAAGGAGGATGGTTTAGGGCAGCATTGTAACTTCATAGAACTTCCTCTTCTGGGGTATGTGTGTGCACACACACTCAAGTGTGTATGAATGTGCCTGCATGTGTGCACATGAGTGTTAATGTGCCTACATGTGTGTGCATGTGTTTACATGCATGCATGTCATGTACAATAATGTAAAGTTTGCTTTCTAAGACTTCCTGGCTTCCTCCCTCTCTCCTACTTTTATCTGTTTTCCTGTTTCTGCTCTTCTTTCCTGTTCAGCTTGTCCACCCAACTGCCTCTTGCAGTGAGGCCCTGCCTAGGAGGTGCTGTGGTAGATTAGTTCTGAGGTTCGTGGGAACCATGTTGCTTCAGCCTTTGTAGCCCTCATGGCAGGTCCCTGCATCCACCTTCTATTGGTCACAGCAGTGGCCCAGTTTGGGTTCTGTCCTCACCTCGTCCTGACCAGGCTTTGCAATGACACTTGGTGGCTGCTCTGAGGTACACCTGTTGTCGCACCCACCAGAGACACCATGCCTCTTTAACTCCCCGCCCCCCACACCATACACACCATGCAGGTCTTGTGGCTGCTAGTGGTCCATCTTCTCCTACCCATACTTTCAGTCCATGATGGTGCTTTCTCACCTTACTTTATTGTAAACGTTGCCTTTGGGTTTTGGTTTTGCTATCTAGTTGCTTTATCTGTTTCTTGAAGATTCAGAGAAATTTAAAAACTATGTTTAACTCTTCTACCACCTTTCCAGAACTATTCCAAAATCTTTGAGCATTAAGTTTTCATCAACTGCTTATCTAAAAGACAGAAGGAAGAGGCTGAGGCATGTAAACTGCTTATTCTTAAACCATCATGTCATGAGTCCTTGGTGGTTTTTCCCCAAGACCATTAGTTCTTTTTTTTCTTTTTCTTTTTTTTTTAACCATTTTAGCTGTTTTTAAGTGTACAGCTCAGTGGCACTAAGGACATTCACATTGTTGTCTAACCATCACTGCCATCCATCTCTAGAATGTTTTAATCTTGCCAGACTAAAACTTTGTCCCCATTATACAGTGACTCTCCATTCTTCCTCCCCGCATCCCTTGACAACTACCATTCTATTTCCTGTCTCTATAAATTTGACTTCTCTAGGTAGCTTGTATCAGTGAAATCATGCAGTATTTGTCCTTTTGTTACTCGTTATTTTATTTAACATAATGTTCTCAAGGTTCATCCATTTTGTAGCTTGAGTCAGAATTTTCTTTTAAGGCTGAATAATATTCTGCTGTATGTATAGACCACACTTTGCTTATTTATTCATCTGTTAATGGACACTTGGGTTGTTTCCACCTATTATCTATTGTGAATAATGCTGCTATGAGCATGTGTGTACAAATATCTGCTCTAGTCCCAGCTTTTCAATTCTTTTGGGTATATACCCAGAAGTGGAATTATTGGATCATATGTTAACTTTATATTTAATTTTTTGGGAAACCACCATACTATTTTCCACAGTAGCTGTGTCATTTTACTTTCCTACTAATAGTGCACACAGTTCCAATTTCTCTATATCTTTTGCCAATGCTTGTTATTTTCCGGGTTTTTTAAATGTTTTTTGTTTTTTATAATAGCTATCCTAAAGGTGGGCTAATAACTGTTCTCTTATCAGCTGATTTTTTACTTTTAGAACTCAAACTCTTGCTTATTCTCTCTTCCACTCTCAGAGGCTGAAGCAAAATAGTCATTAAAAAGTAAAGCCTACTTTAGTTTGGACTTTCATTACCCAATAACTATTATCAGTGTTCTCAAGAAAACATTACTGGTCTTTTCTAAAAACTAACAAACAAATTGACAACAGAATAACAGTACTGAAGGAGATTTGGGTTGGGCTCATTCATCATTCTTGGGATATCTATAAGAAGACTTGGTCATTTGGTGAGGGCAGGCGCCATGTTCCCAACAGGTGGTTCTTTCTGCCATGGATATTATTTCTTCTTCTGCTGCCCTTTTTTTTTTTTTAACGTCTCTCTACATCTTGATTTTTCCTAAGTAATATTCACCTGAAGAAGAAATGTTGCTTTCCATGGTTTTCTAAAATTTGGCTAATTTGGGTCTGAGTATAATTATTATTATACCTCAAAAGGAAAATGTCAATAATGCTTTACTTTTGAGCAGTGTAATTATTAGAGTCTCCTTTAGCTTCTTTTTTCAAAGTGATAATTAGTCCGATCCAAATTTTAAAATAACAGCAGTTATACTTTAATGTTGTGAAATGGTTACCAGGAAAGGGTACCTTGAAATGTCAGTAAATGATAATAATAGTATTCTTCCCGACTGTTTTATTCTGCAACTTTAATATCTTCAGTATAATTTAGAATAATTAAGCTCCTATTAGAAATAATTATTTATACTCATTGATATATTTTGCAGTCTGTGGGATTTCTTCCTTTTAGTGTTGAAATGAAAATTTAAAAAGGGTTAGCATTTCATTTGACTTTCATGTGCAGGTATTGTTTTTAAGAATTTTTATCTTACAATGCTAAGTTAACTTGCCAGAAATAGGAAAGTATTAAGGAACTTTTTTCCAAAGTTATGGTTTTCCATAGGCCCCTGTAAAGCAAGGTCTGCAGACCGGCACACAGGCATCACCTGGGAACTTGCCAGATCATAGATTCTCAGGTTGCACTCCAGGCGCACTGCTTTGGTTAGTAGTTGCCACATAACAAAGTTCCTCAAAACTTAGTGGCTTCAGACAACAATCATTGTTTCGTAGCTCATGATCTTTTGGGTCAGGGATTTAGGCAGGCCTCAGACAGGCAGCTCTTCTGTTCCACATGTTGTCAAGTCAGACAGTGGTGTTTCAGCTGGTGTCTGGACGAGGTTGACATGCCCAGGAGAGACTCTGGTTTCAGTGCTCCTTCACGTGGCTCCCTTGGGCTTCCTTACAGCATGTGGTTTCAGGCTGGAAGGGCTGCTGATGCAGAGGCTGCATATCTTTTATGAGTACAGTATGTGGGAGCTGCCTCTCTCTTAAGGCCCACCCCTGGAGATCCTACAGTATCAGTTCCATTCGAAATTAGCACAGTAGACATACATTATAAATTTTATGATCATTCCTAAGAGGTTCTAAATTTATTACCCGATTTAAAGTTTAAAAATCTATTTTTTTTTTCATGAATATTTCAAAGAAATTCAATATGAGAGTAAGGAATGTTTTGAAACATTTTTACAATGTGAAGCCTTATATGTTTGTCCTCTATTTGAAGTAGATTTTTCTTATCATCGGGTAGCAAAATAGGTGACATTCTTTTACTGAGAAAAATTATCTTCTTCTTTAGTTTATGTTTATAGACACAAGTATTTGTCAAATTCATTCACTAGAAAATTAGAACAGTTACTGATTGTGTTTCTGCTTCATGAGAGTAATTGAAAAAATATGAAGTTAAAGTAAGGCTCTTTGGGAAAACGATTAGATTATTTGAACATTTCAAATACATTAAACTCTTTATTTTAGATGGTTTTTTGAAGACTTTAAAAAAAGGGACATAAAGCAAGACAAATGATTTTATGACTACACATTCAAAACAAAACAATGGATTTTACGACTTCCAAAGTATATTACGTGGTTTGTCTTTTGAAGGATTAAATATAAATTAAAGAGACTGATACAAGTGTTCCTATAGTTCCTAGAAAAGGCATGGACAACAGTGGAAAAGGGTAATCAAAAAAAGAGAGATTTATCCTTAATTTCCTTTAGGTTTGTGTGTGTTTATATGTGTGTGAAGATTATGTATACTGTACTGTTTCATGTGTGATTATTTTTTAGTCTGTAGTTAACTAATGGTCAACCTAATAAAGAAGAGAATTAAAGCTTTTTGACTCTTTGTTTTAATATAAGAAGCTTGACATATACTGGCTAGAGTCTGAAATCAGTTGGCTTTGACAAATCTTGATTTTTGAAGAAGTAAAGCTTCATGATAATTAGCTATTTTTTATATCCGCTCAAAGATTTTTTTTTTTTGATAGAAGGGATATCTTTATTATCTAATTCTAAATGGAGCATCACAAATATAAATTCTGATAATACTTTCTAAACATTTTCTTACTCAGGAAATACAACTTTTCAAAGGTTATTGGAAAGAAAATAGTTGCTATAAAGATTCTTTTTATAGCCACTAGAGTAGCTCTTGTTGTTGATTCCAGCTCTCCAGTTCTGTCATTTTGAGTTTTGTTGTTATTTTGTAAATGGTTAAGTCCATTAGGACCATATTAAACATTTCTACGTAGGTAATATTAAATATTGAAAATACATACATTTACTTTTAGTCGTGTGGTTTGAAAACATACAAATCAAGAACTTCATAAGAAAGATTTCTAGGACCAAACTAATCCAAAAGTAACTAGATTAAATGTCTGCCATAAAACTATTTTTCTTTCCTCTCCAGGTTTACCTTCATTTCTCAATGTGAGACTTTTCATCATTAAGATGAGTTGAGTATAGATTTCAAATAACGTTCTTCCTAAGTGATAAGGATGTAGACTTAGCAGGACAAGACTAATCATCTTAGCATTATACTGCGGGCCCCATAGGTAAGGTTCAGCGAGCCTTTCCATGCTATCAGTTCCTTGAAAGTTTCTGACCATTTCTTTTTTTCTGATTAAGACCCCAGGGTATTTAAGACTGAGGAAGTCTGTAATGGACTTTAAACACATAGGGAATATATGCATTTTATTTAAAGTTGGTTCTTATATATGTTTTGTTTATCCAGTTTTAATAATGATCAACCCTGGAAATTTCAGGTTACAGTTGTAACTTTAATAATTTTTGTCCAAGTGGGACCAAAGAAAATTTAGATGAAAATCTTCTGAAAAGTGTTTAGGATTTTGCATTTAAGATAATTTGTTACTTTAAATATTTACTCATCCACTTTTTACATTAGTTTATCTCACATATATAGGTAAACATATAATTAGGAAATATGTCATTGTAAATATTCTTTTACTGTCTAAAGTGGTGAGCACTATTCAACATGATTAGGTTATCCATTTTAAGAAATAAACTTCTCAGCCTCTGTATATACTTGCTATCTCAAGCATATGAAGAGAAATAGATATTAAACTTCCAGTAAACAGAAAATGAATCAGTATTCCAAAAATTATGGATTGGAGATCATATTCAAATATAGCCCTAAAACTCAGCATTCATATTCCATTAAGACATCATCTTAAGATTTGTTTTAGAAGTTGTAAAATAATCACTTCCATCTAGTTGGGAAAAAATGAGGACATTGACTTTGATTAATAACCAGTCTAGATTTTTAAATATCCTTACACCAGTGAAAGTAATTTTCCTTAAACCTACTTACAAGGCATGTCTTGACTGTGCCTTGAGAAATTCCAAGTCCTTACAGTGCTTATATGATATACTTTTGAATCAGATTCTATTATAGTTCTGATAATGGCAAAGCAGATCTATTTAGAAAGCTAATGTCCTTTTCTTTCAAACAAATTATTTAACTTCTAGTTCATCACTTAGAAAGTGCATTAGCCTATTTTTATTATTTTTTTTTTTGATAATATGCATTTATAATATCCAGGTTGACTCAGGCTTAAGGACAGCCTGATGAATATGAAAATGAGGGTCCTTGAAACTAATTAATTCAGAGATAATTATTTATATACCTGAATAACAATACACAAATCCTTTTTTGAAGACATGTCCCCAGAGTTATAAAATTAGATTACACACAATTTCAGGAACACTTCTGTAAAGATTAGGCCTCATATTAACCTTGGGTAAGCCTGCTGAATTTTATTAAGTGAATATCAGTGTGCTAAGAAGTGGTAGTTTTTTGTGCAGTGGAAAAAGAAATTGGGAGGTATTGATAGCTCTTTCTCCTTTTTTTTTTTTTTTTTCCCCAGATTTAGAAATGGCTGTTGCATATTGGAATTTAGTATTATCTGGAAGGTTTAAGTTTTTAGATCTTTGGAACACCTTTTTATTGGTAAGTATCCTCCTGCTTCTTGCCATCTGTGCCCAGTGTGAAGGTGGGGTGTGGTTAGTAGGTTATGTGGCTATACATATTATCTAACCAAAGTATTATACCTGGACATTGTGGTAAACGAAAGTCTTGTACAGAGATCACCAGGTAACGGACAAGTTGCCACATAGTTCTGCCACGTGCAGAGCACCGCAGCCACCGAGTTTCAGGTGGGGCTACTTTGAGGTTGACCTTGAAAGTGGCTCCTAACAGCCACATGAAACTTCTTCTAAATTGGGGCTTCAGATGGTGGATTGTATATTGTTGTCCAGTGGATCCCTGCCACTGCACGTGGGTTCATATTCTGATACCATTTTAAAATGCGTTTTATGATACTTGGAAGGAAAGGAGGGCATAGTTGGCACCATTAGGAGAAAGTCTGTCTATGCTGGAGGCAGGCATTCCAGTTATGCTGGGCATTCTTAGTGAGATGTGTCCCCCTAGCGTGAAATAAGGGAAGCGGGTGTAGCTGTGGGCTGTTTGAAGTGCATGGAAGGCAAGGGTACATCCCAACTCCAAAATAAACAATCATGATGTCAACATGCCCACATCTCCCTTGTCATTTCCATCTGTGAACATGAGAGGAGGCGGTCCTCACAGCACAGAGCCCTAAGCTGGCCAAGGACAAGCCCTTCCACTTGAGCAATTGTGTTTTAAGGCCATCCTTGAGTCAGTGTAGGAATGCCTAGATTCAACTTAATAGCAACAGGTCATATTGACTCTCTTCTACCACTTACTAGTTTTGTGGCCAGTAACCTGAATTGCAGACATTCCCCAGAGAACCAGCGCACATGTGCACAAAGATGGCAGGAGTGCTCCTGTGTCATTGTAATGACAACACACTGGGGACAACTGCACTGTCCATCAATAGGAGGGCAGATAAAAACTCAGAGTATAAATGTAGTAGGATACAACTGTAGAACAGTGAAAATGAATTTCCCTAGATTTACACACATCAGTCTAGATACATTTCAAACACAGTATTGAATGGAACGAAAACGAGTTGCAGAAGATTACATAGGATTTGGTAGTCATTATATAAATACTTCAAAATGTAAGACAAGCTTACAAGTTGTTTATGATATATTTGCATGTACTATATATACAAAGACAGACATGAACGTGATACATGCTAACTTCAGGAGGATGAGTACCTCTGTAAGAAGGGGCAGGATGAGAGAGAAGTGCCAGAGGTTGCAGGTTTGCTTCTGCAGCTGGACGGTGAATAATAGAACATAGGTGTTATGTTATTCTCCATATTTTTAGTATATCTAGTATATGAAATACTGAACAAAGATATTTATAAAAAATTGTTCCAACACACTGCAAGAACTCCCTAGTATATAGAAAAATTAAGATATCAAAATACAACCTACCTGTTGTCCTGCATTGTTTCTGAACTGGCTTGGGGGTTACGTGGAGAAATTAAAAATGCTACCCTTCTATTTGACTGAAACAGGAGTTTATAATCTTTGTATTTTAAATGTTTTTGTTTTATTTTTAAATGTCTACTTTCTATATTTGCCTATTTGCATTATGTAGCTCTTAACATTTATCCAAAGCACTATTTTTAACTTTTAACTATTTTCTTATGATACTTATTCCTCATCAAATTATGTACTGAGATAACTAGGCCACCACAACACCTGAAAGTTAAGTCTATATCTTAAATCTGGTGTGGTTTTTTCTCTTATGTATTAGGAACATCACAAAAGATCAATCCCAAGGGACACGTGGAACCTTCTGCTAGATTTTGGAAATATGATCGCCGATGATATGTCTAACTATGATGAAGAAGGTATGAGAAGTTGTAGTACTTCAGATGATCACTAGAAATGCTACATATGCTGACTTTTCCTGCCCCTAGAGCACAGGACAGTGATGATGACACAGGCACTGGGGTCACATGGGGCCCTAGAGTGTAGGACAGTGATGATAGATACAGACACTGGATCAGAAGGGCCCTGGAATGTAGGACAGTGATGACGACACAAACCCTAGGGAAATAGGAGTGATGCTGATAATACTAGTACTCACTTTATTATGTCTTGTAAATCACACAAAAGAAAAGTAGGGTTTCATGTTTATTTAAATCAAGAAGACAATCCTCTAAACAAAAACATTTCAAAAATGGACGTGCAGAGAGCCTATGGCAGAAACATAGAACTAGACAGGTGTTTAGAAGCTGCTGCTCTAAGTATATAATCCCATTTGATACCTTAGTTCTCTAGGCTGTTAATGCTTATTTGAGGATTCCAGCTTATGTTTACTTACATGAACATAATCACACATTTAGTCGTCCCCAAGCCCAAATATTTCAAGACACTCAATTAGGGAACATTTGATTGCCTGCTTTGCAATGGATGCCCTGCTACTTTAGGGAAGGGTTGCTCTGCCTCCAGACCCCACCCACTGTCTGCTTCCTCAGTGTCCAGCTAGGAGGTGATCCCCTCTGGGATATCTTCCTCATCACTCACCCTCTTTGTTCTAGAAAGTGAAGGTTCTTCAGTGACAGCACTCACCACCCTTGTGGTAACTATTGGCATATATGTCTGTCTCTCTGTCCTCAGCATTTCACACCCTCCCTATGGCAGAGTGGGCACCTAATCTGTGTCAAACAAGTGGGTGAATGTAATTGACAAAACAGAAGCCCAGTTTTCAGGAGCTTTAGTTACTATAGGTGAAACAAGGCACATCTCCATTAAAAAGAAAAAAAAAAAAAGAGCCAAGATATAAAGCAGAAGTGTATAGCTGGCTACCGCATGGTGTCTGGGTATCCTGGGCCTTTAAAGTGGGGCTATTTGGATTTAGTGGGGTGAGCCTTACTGAGGGAGGGACACGGCTTGGAGAGAAAACAGCACCCATAGTGTCCAGAACTCGGGCTTTGGAGGAAAGGAGTTGTCTCTCTCAGCCTGGGAAGGCAAAGGGTCTTCAGTCCATTCCTGATTATCTGGTGCAGGGGCTGAGGGCTTAAGGCCGCAATGGGAACAGGAGGACCAACTAGCCCTGTGTGCCATCATCATTAGAGAGGGCCATTTCCACACAACTACACCAGTATCTGTCGGCCCTGGTCTGGTTGGAACAGAAGAAATGGGTAACTTTAGCTGTTAAGTAAAACAGGTTGTAGAAACTTAAAATCATTGTTCTTGAAATATAAATGTTGGATTATGAAAAAAAAAGTACTTCAAATAAAAAATATTACTCTAAAATGTTAATTTTTTAAAATCTGTTTTCCTTTAGGAGCATGGCCTGTTCTTATAGATGATTTCGTAGAATATGCACGGCCAGTAGTCACAGGTGGTAAACACAGCCTTTTCTAGGCAGAAATGAAGATGATGTAGAATTATAAATGAACTGCATCCTGCAAAGAAACATTTTGGTTAGTTACTGTGCACATATGTCACTGATTTCAGAAGTTATCCTCGACCAGTTATGAAACTGGAATGACCATCTCACTCTGCTTAAGGAAAATGGTGGCTGATACCGACACCGTAAGGAGATCCTCAGGAGACAGCTGCTTTGAAATGTTTAAAGATGGGTCACATAGCCGTTGTTTAGGAGATTTCTGCATGAGTTTTATATTTATGAAAAAGTAACCTAGAGCCTGTTTGCAGGACTACAGAGCATGCTGTTAATTCATGATTTAAGGTGAACACCAGCAGTTGCCATACTCCGCCAAATTATATTGTAATTACACTTAAAAAAAAAACAATATTTGTGTCCTTGGTAGGATGTTGTATTTTTATACAAGTCAAAACTGTTTAAAATGTGCCCCAAAGAAGATGATCTTGTCGTGGATTCTAACATTTTTTAAACTTGGTGCCAGGAATTTAAGATTTATATTTTTTGAATTATCAAATATCTAGATTTACCAGATCTATTTTTGTTTAATTTTCTCTAGATGTTCATCTGAAAGTCATTTTATAGTTTTTAATAGTCATTACAGTTAGCACAGTGATGACACATGTAGAATGTGATTCCAGAAAAGTTTTATTTTAAATTGTTTACCAATCTAGTTTACTTCTAATAATGTCATTTGAACTTCCTAAGAAGTTTCATAAAGTATGTTTTTTTTAAATGTATTTTATTACATTTTAAAAGACATTTTCCATGAAAACTATTTCTTTTATGGATGATGAATTACAGATTTAAAAATCAAGTGCATTGGTTCCTTTCAACTATCCGTAATATCCATAATGTCCACCCTCCAGCCTTTGTATGGTTGTACACATTTGGAAGCTAAAATACACATCGTTGTCAAAAAAACAAAACCGGAAACCTTCATCTGATTTGCAAGCTGAAGTCTGTCTCAGCTTCAAGTTGCCATCTAATTCTTCTGGTGTTTGCCTTGTCAAAGAGGACCGTCCAGGGCGGCACAGGGATAACTGGGGTGCTGTCCATAGGCCGGAGACCTGCAGTGTACCTGCTCTTCTTTTAGTAAAGCTCTGTGTAGAGTTCTGAAAATCACTGTGTGGACCCTACCTCATATTTGAAAAGATCTTCATGTCACAAGTGTGCCTGCTGCCCTGCCTGCAACTCAGTTTATCAGACAGATAAATTGCGGTTATTTCACAGAAGAGAGGAGATTTATTTCAGATTTCCTGTAAACAGAAAGTGTGCCTAAAATGTGTAGTTTGGTTTGGCTTCCAAAAATGTGATTCAATCAGTGTTCTAGGAAGCACCCATGTACAACATGAGGTTCATGTAGTCCATACTTAATATATGTGAACTATTAAACTTTTGAATAGAAATTTTTCGAAGAGTGCAGCAGGCCATGGAAGATTGGGAAGGGAGCTGAGGCCTGGAGACCAGAGTCAGGCTGGGGTCATTGGCCCCTAACTAGGTACAGGATCCGAGTAAGTCTCTTATCTTCTCGGGGCCTCCACCTCCATGTCTACAAAAGGACAAGCGAGGCTGTCTCTTATCTGTAAGTCTGTAATTCTAAGAGAGCGTTTATTTTACATAATAAAAGCTAGCTTTAATAAAAACCTCAATGATTTTAAATCATCCTTTGAGGCTTCATGTATTCTTGACATGTAAGTGTTCTGCTCATAGAAGGTTATAGAACTCATATAATTCTCTATAAATTGTAGAGGTCTTTGACACTTATTCTTAAGATTTAAAGTTATATGGGGGAAAAAATGTCCTATGGACTTGTTTTCCAGGAGATATCAAAACAGTAATTGGACAAAGGCTCTTCAAAAAACTGTGGGTTTCTTTTTCTTCTGTTATATAGATTTAAGTCATGCATGCTATGAAAGTGCTAAGAACTTTGGAAAAGTTAAAATAAATTATTTTCTCTGGTGTTTTGTTATCTTTTTAATTATATTTTTGGTTGCTCAAATACTGACCACTAGATGTCAGGGTCTTGATCTTGTCATGGAACTGACAGGAAAGCCACCTCTATAGCACAGTGAAATAGCCCCTTCAGGAATATTTCCACCTGTGTCCAGTCTGCCACCCTAATTAAATGATTGTGTCCCAAAATTGACAGCTTCAGTCATTTAGTTTTTAAGTATCACCTAGTGTCCTATGAATATGATTGTTTCCATGTGAAATATTAAAGATCTCATACTGCCCTTGAGTTGATAGGAATTATATAACCAGAATACATTGAAATGCAAACTATAAATATTTTGAAAATAAATTAATTAAACATGATAAGTTAAATAAATATACGTTACCTGTTCCTTTATAGAGCGCCTGCCAAGAATTTCTGGAATAGACATCATCATCTTTCTATCTAGGTGACGTAATAGATGCTATTGTGTTATTTTAATTCAGTAAAAGTTTAAATGTAATATTATATACATCTTAGACTTCAGGCTCCATGGAGGCAAGGATAGATTTTTTTCTATGTGTTGCTATATTCACAGTTGATAGCATAGTTGGGGCTCAGCAAATGTTGAATGAACACGTTAGTGAACTCATCCTATTTGCTAACATAGGCCAAATAGTATGGTTTCTCCTAGCATCTTCGATAAAGGTTTCCACCGCCTCAATTAGCAAAAGAAATCACTATACCTCTGCCCTCAACTACAAACATTTCTGCAGAATGATGCTGTTCTACCTATGGTAGTGGTTGCCTAAATCAAGGGCTGCTGTTATCTGCCTTGTCCTATTGGATAGGGAACCTGCATACCCAGAAACCCAGGACCATCTGTGCTGGTTTTTTGAAGGACTATTTGTTTCAGAATCAAAATTGTGCAGCTGGAATAATATTTCAGAACCTCGTTTTTAACACTATGTTCATTTAAATGCAACTTAGAATCTTGTTATTATTCAAAGTGCAAGTGTGACACTCTCCCACTTCTCATCTGATGAGCGACCAAGTTCCAGGGGACAAGGGGAAAGCACAGCTCCACAGTGGTCACTGTCACTCTCCAGGGCCTGGGGGACAGCCAGGTGGACTGGTTTATACATTCTGCCTTCCCCTAGCCTCTTCACATCTTCGAGTGCTCTTCCCACGATTAATAGATGATGCTTAATGATGGCGCCACCATGGATGCCACCGTGAGGCTTTACACTCTGCTCATACACTTTGCAACCTGAAGTCTGGATATTTGGGAAGCCTTTAGTTGAACATTGAATTGTAAGGACACTTAATAATTTTTCACACTGGAGCTAGAAGTGCTTTGTTTCTTTACTCTTTGCATTTTCTAAGTGTTCTATCATAAACATATAATCAAAAAAATTTTTCCAAAAAACAAAACCACGTGTGTAATGGATGAATCTCAACATTATGCTAAATGAAAGAAGCCAGACACAAAAGGCCACATAGTGTATTATTTCATGTCTTTAAATTTCTAGAAAAAGCACAACTATAGAGACAGAAAGCAGATGAATGATTGTCTGAGGGTGTGGTGGAGTGAACAGGGAGTAGATGGGCAAAGGGGACTTTGGAGTGACAATTGGCTAAAACTGGTCTATGGTGAAAGTTGCACAGCAGTGCACATTTTACACAAGCTCATCAGACTGCACTGAACGTGGGTGAATTTCATGGTGTGTAAATGTGTGCATTTCGTCAAGAATACTGTGCATATAAACTATTTCAAAATCGTTGCTAAGCGAGAGAGCATCTGGAGTTGTTCTGGATGCTGACTAAGCTCGCAGCCTCCTCTGTTGATGAGCTAATGTCTGTCCAGACGCTAAAGAAAGCTGATGCTTCCACGTGGCTCTTCGGAAAGCGCTGTGAGCTGCAGGGTCCAGAAAGTTTTCTCATTGGTGCCACCTGCAGAGACGGAAAAGGAGTGCCCGGCCATTCGAGGAAGTTCCTGACAGCGACACAATGAGCAGAACAGAGGTCAGCGAGGTGGACTGAAGGCTGCGACTTCTGGGAAGCAACAAAGGCAGGGCGTGCTCAGCAGCTGTGGGGGCAAAGGAACCACTTCTGCAATGGAGAAATTTCAGGCAGCAATGTTGCTGGGGAGTGTCGGGGATGCTCTCGGATACAGAAACGCCCGCAAGGAGAACAGTGCTTCAGGCACAAAGATCCAGGAGGAGCTGCAAAAACTTGGGGGGCTGGACCACCTCGTGCTCTCACCAGAGAAATGGCCGGTGAGTGACAACACCATCATGCACATGACGACAGCCGGGGCCCTCACCACAGGTAAGGCTTGGCCACCGTGCCCCGCAACGTGTCGGGTGAACCAGAGCTCTTGCAATAAGCACTGGAGCTTTGAAGGCGATGCGGCCTTTCATCCGTGGTGTCACCCGATGCCACTGCTAAAAGTGGCAATTTAATATACATCGGTGTCCCTCAGCAAATCGGACATGTGGCAGATCATGTTTCTCATGTAGTCTTTTTGGATGGCAATATTATTTCACTCTGCTTATCTGCAGAGGCAGTTTCTTAAACAATGACTTTTCATTTGTGTCTTAAATATTCACTAAGCTGAGCCCTCTGTCTCTAGTGTTAAAACCAATTAAATCTCTCACTTTGGAGTGTTTTAGGTAAGGGCTCAACTTTTCACTGCAGGTATTAAGCCTCCTTCTGAATTTATTTCAAAAGAATATAAAGTAATAAGCCAGTTTTAAATTAGGACAAACTAAAATAATATTGTTTGGGGATTACTTCTAAATTCCAGTAAATTAGGGTTAAATGCCAGCTATCAAAATATGATTTAGCTTGGACAGTTGCTTATACATAAATATGTCCTAAGAAAATGCTATAAAATTGGTTGGAGTTGGGGAGGGGAGAAACAAAGTTTCTTAAAATATTCTTTAAGTAGCAGATTGATTTTAGGATGAGCAAGTTTTTATATGAATTTCAGAGAAACAGTAGATATATAAATATGTAGCACAACTTTCCTACAAGTTATTTGTTCTTTAAAAACCCGTGTTATTAGCACGTTGCTGCAAAATTAAAATCTGAGGGTGACTATTAAGTCAATGAAATCTCACTTATGAGCTCACCTCGCCATTCCATGTATCTGCTGTGAGCACGCTCGGATTAGCTCTGTGGTCATTGTTCAGGAATGTCATCTACTTGGTGACTGGTTCCTAAATAGCTAGGGACAGAGCTAAAGCACCACAGATAAGATAAAGTGTCACAACGTGTTGAAAATGGTGAAGTGTCTTTCTGAGTCGACACAACTATGAAATCCAAATATTTCCCGTTTCTGATGATTTCAGAAAGATTCTCACATTCTCTGTGTTCAAGGGAACTAAATAGCATTTTAGCAGCCCGGAACAGTAATGCCCCCTGCCCCAAGAATCTGCTAGAAAGCATGGCTTTTGACATAAAACCACAGCTTGTTTTAGCTGCATGCAGCTGGTCCTTACCCTTAAACCTTGCTTCTTTCATTTGTGTCTGATGCCGTGTCACAAAGTACACAGTCCACACGTCCCCTTGTCTCCATTAGCACTTCGGTAAGTTTTTGTGAATGGCAGAATCCACGATGTGTCTCTGCGTAGTTACCCCCAGGACAATACCCAGCACAGGTCGGGACACTCCTGATAATAACTGCTCTCTGAGATTAGATCTAGTCAAGTCCTCTTGGCAGAAATAGGATCTAATCTACTCTCAATGTGAAATTTGTACATTTAAGACAATTGTGAACGTTTGGGGCATTGTTTTTAAGAAAGATAATGAGTTTCTCTATGTGATCACAGCCACCAGCTGCAGGAAGAGGGTGACTGCTGTGCAGGGCAGATCTGTGGGTCATGAGAGAACACTCATGAAGGCCACTTTCTTGTTTGTACTTTTCCAGAAACTCAAGCAAGCATATATATATTTTTTTAATTCATAAAAATCTAAGTTGAAATTTCATTTAAGTTTAGTTTTCAAACAGCACAATTTTTTTTCTCAAACTAACAAATTATAGACTGTGGAAGGAGCCTCTGAGCTAACTCTGACACCGCATTAATTCTGTGGCAGGCATTGTTCTAACTTCATGTGTATCATCATCTGATCCTTATATCACCCTAAAGGTTGACTTTATTATTACAATTTTACAGCTAAGGGAAACTATACATAGAGAGGTTAAATAACTTGCCCAATGCTACACAGCCAAGTGAGTATCAGAGCAGGGATTGGAACCCAAATAACCTGGCTCCACTGCCTATGTTCTTAAGCACTATCCTGACCACCTGACGTTACTGAACATGCAAATATTTCAAGGATTCCAATGGGCAGTGGCTCTTCAACATGTTTTCCATAGACGGGAAGACTTTCACAACTTGACTACATCTTGACATATTTAAATAAGTTTCACTAAGAAGTGCCCTAAGCCAATAAACCATGTAACTGTGTGGTCTGGTAAACCACAGTTCTGCTATCCAGTGAGCATGATGAGGAAGGTCAGGTGCAGCCTGTGTGACGTCCTACTTTTGCGTATGTCTCTGAAAAGGCCAGTGTGGAAAGAAAGCAGATATTGGCCTAGGAAGTAGCCAATACCCACAAGGTAGGTAAATAATCCAGTAAACATAGCTTAGGAACAAAGAGCTCACTCAACACGCATTTACCAAAGGCTCCCTTGCGTGCGTGGTCCTGCACCCGTCACCCAAGGATGAGAAGGGGGGCTTCCCCTTAGGAGTCTGGACTGCGACACCCCTAGTTCTCCATCACTTACTAGTCAGAAGACTGCTTTTCCTCTCTGAGCCTTACTTAGGGATGATAATATGTTAGTCATAGGGTTAAGTGAGGATCAAATGGGACAGCATAAGTACAGTATGAGTGAGCATGTAAGTTATTGTGGCAATATAGTTAATATCTGTCTTTCCACAATGTCTCATGCATCTGAGGGTCAGCAACTCCAACTGCCATGGCTAAGCAAGATGGCCACATCACTGCTGCTGCAGGAGAGGAATAGGGGGTCGTTAGCCCTATTGGAGATGGCAGCAAGTGCCACCTGCATGTCCATAACCTATAGGGAGAATGTGAGGCCTGACCAAGTATGAGCAGACAAAGCCTGTCTAGACTCAGCTCTTTCTTTTCCTCAATCAATGGCTCCCTGATAACAGCATTTTGGAAGACTGATATTTTTCTTGCAGAGTAACTTGACATTGGTATTGTGGCTTTTCTCTATTATAACATTAGTTGGGAGACTTATCAATGGTTTCATAAGCTGATTTGTCTTTTAGGACAGGGGTCCCCAGCCTCCAGGCTGCAGACCCATACCAGTCCATGGCCTGTTAGGAACCTGGGAGGAGGGGAGCAGCAGGCGAGTGAGCAAAGCTTCATCTGTATTTGCAGCCGCTCCCCAGCGCTAGCATCACCACCCAGCTCCACCTTAGATCATCAGGCATTAGATTCTCACAGGAGCACTGGTCTCTGGTGCCAAAAAGGTTGGGGACCGCTGTTTTAGGAGACTGGGTAGATAAGACAGAGAAAAAAGGAGTTGAGAAACCATGTCTGGGGTAGAGAAATTCAGGTGAGAGAGTCCAAGGCTCTGTAGCTCTGAAACATCTGTTTCTAGTTTAAATTCTAACCTGAAACCACACAGGGCTTTTAGTTGCCACTTTGTTTTTAAGGATTTTTTTTTTCCCCCTTAAGCAAGGATGCGATTCCGGAATAAAAGGGATTATTTTAGGAGACTCTGGAAAGGCCAGGTTTATTAACCCCGGATTGAGTCACGAAAGGCTGTTTGTAACTGATAGTGCTGGCGACTAAGAGCCTCCTGGACAGATCCCAGTGGCTCACACCTCCCAGCTAGAGGTTAGTTTTATTCTTGCAGAGTTACCGATGGGACACCCCTCCATGTGACCCGCAGAACTCATTCCTCCAGGACAAAGGTCTTGCCACATCCTCTCTGTCCCTTGCTCAGAGATGGGGCGATGCAGAGTGCGTCCAATATAGGAGCAGTGGGCCGGATCTCGTGGAACTCTCCTTGCTGTTAAGAGATCAGAGAATGGGATAAAAGGACTTAGAGCCACTCATTTCACCAAGTCTTATCTCCAAAGGGTCACAATTCCAGGGCAGAAGAGTACCACCTGCTATAACCACTGCCAGGACTGAGGCTTTCTTCCTGCAGCAGGGCGTTTGCCAAGTGGACGTCTCATCTCCCTCACCCCTCTGTGTCAGGACCCTGGCTCTGAGAGGGTCTAATGAAGGTCTCGACAGGCCACAGAAAGGCCAGTGGGTTTTCACGCCAATGGTACTCCACTGCCTGCTCTGAGCTCGGAGGACCAAGAGGTGTTTTCTCCTCCCACCACCACCAAAGATGGAGAATCCACCCCCAAGGAAAGGAGGAGCAGTAGCTGGCTCCTGATGTCTGCCTAAAGTCCTGAAATGCAGTTTTGCACAAATGAGTTTGTCAGTGGCTACGAGAGCTGCACTGGCAGGTACCTGCCTGCCTCCCCTGGCACAGCGGTCCCTCCACCACCCCAGTCCTGCTCTCCTATATGACCAGGCACCTTGGACCCACGATGCTGTGGATTAATTTAATGGCAGAAAAACTCAGGCTTTACAACTGAAATCCATTTACCAGCTCTGGCCTTGGGCAAGTCGCGTAACTTCACGGAGCCTTATCTGGAAGAAAACAATATGACAAATAAGAGCCTATTGCTGTCATGGGAAGACTGCATGAGATCATGTAGATGCAGATCATCTAAGGTAGAGTACCAGGCAGATGGCAGGCGGTCAGCAAGCAATGGTTCCTCTGTCTTCCATGCCCCATAATTTCAAGGGACCTGAGACCACGCTTGTCTCTGGAACACCTTCACATGGCAGGGGATGCAGTTTGGGACAATGCCTGACAAGTACTGACTGCTTCATTGGTGTAAAAACAAGGGAGCTGGGGATGGGAGAGACTCTCTTTCCTGTACTTCAGACATGGGTTCTTAAAAACCCAACAAACAGGCAGATTTTGGTCCAGTGTGTCCTTGCATGGATAGAACTATTAGCAGTATATGAGGATCATGGGTTTCTTTCTTGTAACTAGAATGATAAGCACAACAACGAGCTGTAATGTCTGAAATCGAAGTGAAATCTAAAGCGAATTTTTTGTCTGCATATTAAATTTCTCTAGGTAGCCAGGGCTGTGTGAGATGGATCACGAAAATCTTTCTCCTCTTCCACCAATTTGGAGACTTAATGCTACGGTCACCTCTGTTGTTGCTGCTGCATTGGGGTTTAAGAGGCAAATGCCCCTCCCACCCACTCTGGCTGCCTTCTCCTTTCTTCCTCAGACTACTGGTGCCTGGATGATCTGTACCGGGAGATGGTGAAGCGCTACGTGGAAGTCCTTGAGAAGCTTCCAGAACTTCGAGCAGACCCAGCTACCATTGAAGGCTGCTCGCAGCTGAAGCCAGATAACTATCTTCTTGCCTGGCACACGCCTTTCAACGAGAAGGGTGAGGAAATGCTTGCTTCTCCCACTAAAGCCTTGTGTTGGAGAACTATCATGGGGCATGAACCCATCTGTCATCCCACTAACCAGCCGCTTTGCTGTTTTGTGCGAGTTGAGAAGGATTTGCCAGGGCTCCTTTGTAGGGCAGTGTGCCGCCTGGAAAGCCAGCCCGCCCATGTGGGTGTCTATTTAGAGGACACCGACTTCCCCAACAGTTTTGTCATCAATCCCTGCTTTATTTTAAGAAATATTTTCCACTGCTTTCCCTTTAAGTTTGTTTGTTTGCTTTGCTTTGCTTTTTGGCTATAACGTTGAGAAAAACATACACCACCTGCATAAATGTCTGTCTCCATGATGATTTCATGTATTTATGGGGTAAAGTATTTAGGTAGCCACAGTCTCTGTCTCCAGGGCCTCAGCTGCTGGGGTCCCTGACCTGCCCTCTGGGTTTATACTGAAGGCTGGCATCCAATCAAAGAATTGAGAAAATAAAGCCCACAATGAAGACAAAAATCAATAAATCAAACTGATGGAGCCTGATACAGACATTAGAATTCTCAGACAAGGATATAAAATAGTATATATTCCGTATTTCCAAAAACTTAAGTAGAGACATGAAGGTATGAAAAAGACCTAAATCATCTTTTTAGAGAAAAACACTATAATGTCTGAGTTTAAAAATACGTTAGCTGAGATTAACAGATTAGACATTTTGGAGGAAAAGATTAGTGAATTTGAAGGCACAGCAATAGAAACTATCCAAAATGGAACACACAGAGAAAAAATATCCAAAAATATGTGCAGAATGCTAGGGGGCCATGGGACAATTTAGAGCAAGCCAACATACCTATGACTAGAGTTCTACACAGAGAAAAGGGGGACGACAACAACAACAACAACAACAACAAGATTTGGAGAAATAGTGGCCAAAATATTCCCAAACTTGAGGAAAACTGTGAACTCACAGATCCAAGAAACTCAAGAAATTCCAAGCATGAGAAATGCAAAGAAAACTACGCCAAGGCACATAGCGATCAAATTGCTCAAAACTAGTAATAAAGAGAAAAACAGACATCCCATACAATCAAGGTAAAAATGACAGTAGATTTCTTGTTAGAAGAAAAACAAGAGAGGAGATAGCCTAGCAACATCATTAACTTGCGGAAAGAAACAACTTTGACATAATCCTATACCTAGAAAAAATATCTTCCAGAACGAAGGCCTAATAGCATTTTTCAGGTGAATAAAAGATGAAGAATTCATCACCAGCAGAGCCACACTACCAGAATTGCTAATGGAGGCCATTCAGGCAGAAGGGGAAAAATAGCTAATGGAAATAGGGACCTACACAAAGGCATGGAGATCGATGGAAACGGTAACTTCATGGGTAAATACATATGATTTTTAAACTTATTTAAATATCTTTAAAAGGTAATTGACCTTAACAAATGATAACAAGGTATTGCAGGGTTTATGAAATATGTATAAGCAAATGTATGGCACATTAGCACAAAGGCTGGGAGGGGAGAGATGGAGGTGTACAATCGTAAGGTTCTTATATAAGGCATGACGTGGTATATCACATGAAGGCACACTGTAATAGGTTAAAGATGTACACTAAAAGCCCCAAATCAACCACTAAAATAACAAAATAGTTGTAACCAGTAAGCCAACAAAAGAAATGAAATTGAATCATTTTGACAGTATTTTCTAGAGAAGTAGCCATTGTGCGACCTGTGTCTCTCGGTTTGCACAATCAGTGCCCTGTGCCTGGCACATTCACCTCTTGGAGACCAGGTGCAGAGCTGTCACTCAACCTTCAGATTCTTTTTCCTTATTAGGAGAAGGCTTCCCCTGGTCTGGGTACGCAGTGAACTTCCTTGTACTGCTTAAACATGGGCATCAAATTGCACCTGACCAGCCCCACCAGTATATATATCTGCTCCTGTGGGCAAAGAATGAGGTCTTCACTTGCAGCACGGGGTGCATGCAGTCCACAGCCCGACCTTGCCTTCTGGAGAGACCCACAAGCCCTGGGAGACCGGAGCATACTACTAACTCAGATCTGGCTGCTTGTTTTCTCCTTTCTGTGTGCAAAGCCTTATTCCAACCCATGCCCGTGTGTTGAGTCCTCCATGGCAACTCTGAACCTGTAGAACATGGAGCAAGCCAAGGTCTGTAGGCCACTCCTTCTGATAGCGGCACTGTTATGGTCTTTGTCATAATTCACATAGTGAGAATCTTCACTTGGGATTGGTAGCTGGATCTTCCTGCTCGATAATATTCAATCCAAACAAGAAAAGAGAGAAAAGGGTACAAATAGCAGGTAGGAAAAATAGAAAATAAATAACAAGATGATAGACTTAAACCCAACCATATGACTAATTGCATCAAATATAAAGACCCCAAATAAAAGGCAGAGATTCAGAGGGGATAAAGAAGCAAGTCCCAACTATATGCTGCTTATAAGAAATGCACTTTAATTATAAAGACACAAATAAGTTAGATGGAAAAAGATACCAAGTAATGCTAATCAAAGGAAAGCCAGAGTGACTCTATTAATAACACAAAGTAAATTTGGGAGCAAAGAATATTGCCAGGGAAAAGAAGGTAATTTCATGTGACAAATGTATCAATTCATCAGGAAGATATAACAAACCTAAATGTTTATGTACCTAATAACAAATCTTCAGAATAGATGAAGCAAAAAATGATAAAGCTGAATGAAAAAATAGGCAAATCCATAATTATAGGCAGAATTTTAATATTAAGATCTCAAACCAATGACTTCTGCTTTACCTTAAGAAACTAGAAAAAGAAGAGCAAACTAAACCCCCAAAACACTAAGAAAGAGAATAATGAAGATAAGGGTGAAAATCAGTGACAAAGTAAACAGAGTGAAGCAATAAAGAAACGCAATAAAACCGAAAGCTGATTCTTTGGAAAAATAAAAGTTAATAATCAGGAAAAAAGAGGAAGACACAAATTACCAATATCGACAATGAGAGAGGTGGCATCACTACAGATGGCACAAAAATTAAAGAAAAATAAGGGAATATTATTTAAAATTTGTATGTCGATAAATTTAACAACCTACACAAAATGGACAAATTTCTTGAAAGAAATACAAACTACCAAAGGCCACTCAATAGGAAACGGAACATCTAAATAGCATTACATCTATAAAAGAAATTACAAAGAAAACTCCAGATCCAGGTGGCCTCACTGGGGAACTCTACCAAACATCTAAAGAAGAAATAATACCAATCGTACACAACTCTTCCAGAGAATTGAAGAGGATGAATACTTCCCAAATTCATCCTTCTGCTCTCCAGAAGACTCTGTTAAGGAATGAAAAGGCAAGCCACACAGGGGGAGAAAATGACTACAAAGCATATATCTGATAAAGGATTTGAATGCAGCATGTATAAAGAACTCTGAAAACTTAGTAAGAAAACAAGCAACCCAATACAAAATTGGGAGAACTACTTAAACAAACGTTTTACCAAAGAAGCGATATGAATAGTAAATTACTACTCGATATCATTAGTCATTACAAAACTGCAAATTAAAACCACAATGAGATACCTAACACCACAACATACCTAAGAGAATGGCTGAAATTCAAAAGACTGACAAGAGCAAATGCGGTCAAGGATGTGAAGGAGCTGCCAGTGGAATGTGGAATGACGCACCCCCTTTGGAAATCTGTTAGGCAGTTTCTTAAAAAGTTAAACATTCATCACCATATGAGCTACATGTGCCACTCTGAGGGAATTACTCAAGAGAAGAAAGCGTATGTTCAGAAAAAGGTTTGGTTATGAATGTTTATAGCAGCTTATTTATAAGAGCCCCAAACTGGAAACAATTCAAATGTCCTTCCATCCAGTGGAGTACTATTCAGCAAAAAAGGAATAAGTATTGATATACAACAATATGGATGAATCTCAAAATAGTTACACTGAGCGAAAGAAATCAAGCAAAAAAGAATACATTCTGTATGATTCCATTTATGTAAATTTCCAGAAAATGCAAAGTAATCTATAGTGCTAGATCAGAGGTCGGCGAGGAGGGCAAGAGGGACACGGGAAAACTTTGGGATGATGGCTATGTTCACTGTCTTTAGGTGCTGGTTTCATAGGTGTATCATGTGTCAAAACTTATAAACTTGCATACTTTAAAATAAGTTATATGTCAATTATAACTCAATGAAGCAGTTTTTAAAAAGAGAAACCATATATGACTGAAAGTATACTGTGTATGCAATTCTGTCTTCCACATTTTTTCCCGATAGCATTTTGAGCATTTCCCCATGTCTTCAAAAATTCTGTTTTTAATGGCTAAATCATATTCCAACGTATGGATGCTTTGCAATTTATTTAATCTCTTTTCTTTGTCAGGCATTGAGGTGGGTTGCCTATTTTTCACGCATTTAAATGACACTATGATAAACATGTTGTTACATAAATTTTTATACATTTTCAGATAATTCATGAAAGATAGATTGCCAGATGTGAAATTACTGGAGCAGAAGTCTTAATTCAGGTGCTTCATGTTCCGTGTAGGCTCAGGATTCGGAGCTGCCACCAAAGCGATGTGCATCGGCATGCGGTACTGGAAGCCTGAGCGGCTGGAGACCCTTATCGAAGTCAGCATCGAGTGCGGCAGGATGACACACAACCACCCCACAGGTAGCACTGGCGTGGGAGCAGGTGCCTGTTGCGTAATTCTCCATCCGGCAGACTAGACTAAAATTTCACGTAATCATATCCACTGTTTGGTTTGCAATTTGTTGGCAGACTTGAGTTTTTTAATCTTTGGTTTTACTTAAACTCTGTTTTCAACTTAAAAACAGGATTAACAATAAGCTTGGTGATTTTGGAGAGGGTAAGAGAAGGACCAGTTATCCAAATGAAGCTAGCATCTGGGTTGAAGTCATGGGAGTTAGCATTTATGTCCTATTTTCAACACCAAAGCCAGTCCAGTAGTCAGGCATTTTTTGCTGCCGCATTCTGTGCCCAAGGCCAGGGCTCTGAGCCAGACGGACCACTTACTGGTTATGCGAGCTGGACCGAGTCACTTAATGACCTGTGGCTCCATTTCCTAACCTGTAACGGGGACGACTATGCCCACTTATTCTGTGTGTGAGGATAAAGTGAGTGGAATAACAAAACCTCTTAGCACATACTTACTGTGCATGGTGGGGCCAGCTGCATTCTGGGATCCCCCATCCCACATCCTCCACACAGAAGAAGGGCAGGCGGAGCAGTCCCAGTTCCTAACTGTGAGACATGACTTAGAAAGGCAGTCAGCTCCTAATGGTCGAAAAGAAGTACGACAAGAAACTCCTGTACCTGTGATCCTCACCTATAGGTGACACGTGCTGCCCCCTCTCCACCCTCAGGTCCAGAGGCTGCCAGTTTCTCTCCAGTAACTGCTTTCCTCTTTCAAGTTTACCTCTAATTCCATTTTAATGTGTCACTCACTAAGTTCGCGAGGGTCCACACTGTGCCCTCCTGGAAAGCACACTTTCGCGAGTGAGCGATGTAGCACCTTATGAGTGGATGTGGCAAAATACACCGATGAGTTCACCGCAGGAGGTGACAGGCTAAGTTGTGACATCCACAAATAAATTCATTAGATCTTTAAAGTTTAAGCAGAAAGGCATAAAATTTAACCAGTTGGCAACATCTTAGATGTTTGAAAGGGAGTTGACCCGAACATCTGCTGCCTGACTGGATCAACTAGAAGTAAATTAAACATCAAAAACCTTCCGACATGAAAATGTTCAACATTTGGAAACAATGCAATGAGTACAAGAATCTGGGTTGAAAATTTAAATGTCTAAAACATTGGCTAATATATCACCCACTCATTAAACAAATGTTGTTTTACATGTTTAATAGCTAAGTCATTTATATATTTCTAGAATGACTGAAAATGTTTTAAGGGTTTGATTGTACAAAATTAGTACCAGGATGTACATTTTAACTCCACTCTCCTTTTCAATTTTCAAACCACCTTTGACAGCAAGTGTCACGATTTTTATTACAGCGTGTATTGTCCTAGACTCTGGAGTTGAAACACTCCATGAGAGGAGGCAGAGTGAAGGCAGGTGGTCAGGACAATAGTTGAACCCTGGGTTTGAGAAGTAGATACTTATTTCCTGCCTTTGAAATGATCCATAACTGATGCCTCAAGGAGTGGCCAGGGAGCCTCTGAGAGCGTCTCAGGGAAATGGCAATGTACTTTCTTGGGCAGGTGCAGTCTTTGCAAGGCCATTACCATGGGCTGGCTTGGCAGGCACTCATCTGTGTTTAAAATCATCCATCCCCATGACAGCCCTTGCAAGGTAAGTATCATACCCCTTTGTATAGAGAGGTCAAAATACACGAAGTAATTGCCCAGGGTCCTACATCTGGTAAATGGCCTGTCCAGCATTCCAGAAGCAGGACGTGGCTCAGGTGCCATTGTTGTCCCTCTCTCCCCATTGTCCTCCAGGCTTCCTTGGGTCCCTATGCACGGCCCTGTTTGCATCTTACGCTATACAAGGAAAGCCTCTCGAGCAGTGGGGGAGAGACATGATGAAGACGGTCCCACTGGCTGAAGAATATTGTAAGAAGACCATCCGGCACATGGCAGGTGAGCCTGGCCTTCCTTCCTGTCACACTTGCACTGGCACCTAGATTTGGTGTCAATTCATACTTAGAACAGATTTGGACAGAACTGGCTTCCAAAGAAGTTAAGGTCCATTTGCCCACCTTGAAATCAAGGGCATGCCCATGGGGTCGTGGGGTCGGTGTGAGCAGGTGGACCCCACATAGAAGTTCTGAAGTGTTGCCTAGTCAGAGGGCAACACCCACTCAGGAGGGCCCCAGGTGTGCACAGAGACACACAGTGGTTCCAGAAAGAGGAGTGGGGTGCATACAGCAGCTCCTAGAATAACATTGTTTCATTCAACACTATTTTGTGATATTGCTGATGAGACACCATAGGAACTTAAGTCTTGTTTACATTATTTAGCCTATGGTAAAACTGATATCCTTGCATGTCATTTTGCTTAAAATCACAAACCTATGAAAGACATTAAGTGAGGCCTTACTGTACTTAGATTTAATTTTCCAAGTTGTACTTAAGTAGCCGTTTCTCAGAGAGGGATGAGGGACATTGACACTGACATCTACACTGCCCCAGGAACCTAATGGACAGCTGTGCCTGACCCAAGAGACTTTGGTCTCCCACATGAAGGCCAGACAGAGGTCTGTTCCCACTGATGACATTTACTCCCAGGAAGCTCCATCTGTCTTAGTTTGCCCAAAACCCGTCATCAAATGGCTCATGCCCATTTTGGCCACGAGTGAAGTCAATCCAGCAAATCCAGCCAATCCAGCGTAGGTTCTAGGGGTTCATAGTCTTGCTGCCTTTGGCTGAGCAGTCGAGGGGCCTCTGTTCTCCTCTTGGCCTGCACCCCTTTCCCCATGGGTTCCCAGAGGGAGAGCAGACCCAGGACAGCAGGCACAAGACTAGGAAATCCTCGGCTTTCTCTACAGGAGACTGACCGACAGAGGGACACGAACAGCTTCATGCGGTCTTTGATATTCTCAAATTGTGGAGGAGAATTTCTAGAATAAATCATCCGATTTGTCCTGGATGAGAGGGAGATAAAGGATTTGAATCCAGGAGCAAGGCTGTCAACCTTTCAGAACAGCCTGAGGCTGAAGTCTTGAAACAGAAAATCAACAAATCACTTTACTGTCACTCTCCAAGGCTCAGGGACTATATTCTAGAAGGCCATGTGGGAAGCTTCTGAAACAACTTTACAAGGAGACCTTCGCATTTGTATCTGCCTGCAACTAGTGCTGGGAAACACTTCTCCACAGGGGCCCTGTTCCAATGAGCAGTGAGAAGCCTCAGTGTTCACAGCAAACTTACGTGTCCCTGAGTAGTCATCTTTCTGTAAACTTGACTATAGAACACGAGTGGCAGCACCACGCTTAGGTTTATTTCCATTTGATTTGTCATTGTCATCCCTGTGGAGGTTGGTCTGTGCTCACTGGGTTAGTCTTCTCCCCAATCCAAGTAGGGTCACCCTAACCCATCTGAAAGAGATGGGCAAGTAATATTAGAGTATGAAACTACACAGTTATTGCACTCACATTATATTAATGAACATCTCCCCAGAACTCTAGTATCAAAACGGATTTCCTCAGTGTTTTCTGAAGAACAACAGTCAAAGATGTCCCATGAAAAAAATGGGAAGGAAAGTCATTGGTCAGATAATTTTGAGACTTTATTCTTTTTGTTTAACTTAAAATTTGTTTAACCCGAGGTTTTATAAACTTCTACAGCAGAACCCTTTTTAACAGAATGCCTAAAATTAACCAGAAACAATGATGTCCCATAGAACACCTCCAGGAAATATTCTTCCTAGACCTTGGGCAATAAGGACAACTAACAAATTTCTTCCATGTTTTTATGTCTGGACATCTATTTCCACAGTTGACTGGCCATTTACCTGATATGTCTGAGTTCGTGCCCACACCCAGCGTGAGCATTCTGTTATAAATTACATGTCTCTGCAAGGCTAAGGGAATCTGTGACTTCTAATCCTGGCTCTACTGCTTTTGTCTTTCACTTTTAATCTTATTTCATTGAAATGGACCTTAAATGGACCTCACCTTTAGTTTTGTAAAACACAGTCAGGCCAGTGTTTCTGAGGGCCTATGATTCTCTTGGCAACCTGGAATGCCATCCCAGGACCCATCCCAAGCACCTCCTGGTATCTCTGTGGCTAGAAGGGCAGCAATGGGAACATGGCTTCCCTCTGCAGCTAGTTATCACCCAAACTCTCTGGTCACTGCCCTGTGGCTAGAAGGGCAGCAATGGGAACATGGCTTCCCTCTGCAGCCAGTTATCACCCAAACTCTCTGGTCACTGCCCTGTGGCTAGAAGGGCAGCAATGGGAACATGGCTTCCCTCTGCAGCTAGTTATCACCCAAACTCTCTGGTCACTGCCCTGTGGCTAGAAGGGCAGCAATGGGAACATGGCTTCCCTCTGCAGCTAGTTATCACCCAAACTCTCTGGTCACTGCCCTGTGGCTAGAAGGGCAGCAATGGGAACATGGCTTCCCTCTGCAGCTAGTTATCACCCAAACTCTCTGGTCACTGCCCTGTGGCTAGAAGGGCAGCAATGGGAACATGGCTTCCCTCTGCAGCTAGTTATCACCCAAACTCTCTGGTCACTGCCCTGTGGCTAGAAGGGCAGCAATGGGAACATGGCTTCCCTCTGCAGCTAGTTATCACCCAAACTCTCTGGTCACTGCCCTGTGGCTAGAAGGGCAGCAATGGGAACATGGCTTCCCTCTGCAGCTAGTTATCACCCAAACTCTCTGGTCACTGCCCTGTGGCTAGAAGGGCAGCAATGGGAACATGGCTTCCCTCTGCAGCTAGTTATCACCCAAACTCTCTGGTCACTGCCCTGTGGCTAGAAGGGCAGCAATGGGAACATGGCTTCCCTCTGCAGCTAGTTATCACCCAAACTCTCTGGTCACTGCCCTGTGGCTAGAAGGGCAGCAATGGGAACATGGCTTCCCTCTGCAGCTAGTTATCACCCAAACTCTCTGGTCACTGCCCTGTGGCTAGAAGGGCAGCAATGGGAACATGGCTTCCCTCTGCAGCTAGTTATCACCCAAACTCTCTGGTCACTGCCCTGTGGCTAGAAGGGCAGCAATGGGAACATGGCTTCCCTCTGCAGCTAGTTATCACCCAAACTCTCTGGTCACTGCCCTGTGGCTAGAAGGGCAGCAATGGGAACATGGCTTCCCTCTGCAGCTAGTTATCACCCAAACTCTCTGGTCACTGCCCTGTGGCTAGAAGGGCAGCAATGGGAACATGGCTTCCCTCTGCAGCTAGTTATCACCCAAACTCTCTGGTCACTGCCCTGTGGCTAGAAGGGCAGCAATGGGAACATGGCTTCCCTCTGCAGCTAGTTATCACCCAAACTCTCTGGTCACTGCCCTGTGGCTAGAAGGGCAGCAATGGGAACATGGCTTCCCTCTGCAGCTAGTTATCACCCAAACTCTCTGGTCACTGCCCTGTGGCTAGAAGGGCAGCAATGGGAACATGGCTTCCCTCTGCAGCTAGTTATCACCCAAACTCTCTGGTCACTGCCCTGTGGCTAGAAGGGCAGCAATGGGAACATGGCTTCCCTCTGCAGCTAGTTATCACCCAAACTCTCTGGTCACTGCCCTGTGGCTAGAAGGGCAGCAATGGGAACATGGCTTCCCTCTGCAGCTAGTTATCACCCAAACTCTCTGGTCACTGCCCTGTGGCTAGAAGGGCAGCAATGGGAACATGGCTTCCCTCTGCAGCCAGTGATCACCCAAACTCTCTGGTCACTGCCCTGTGAACCAAGCTCCTCAGCCACAGACAGGTACAGAGTCTGTGGCTCCTTGGGTCAGCTGATTTCCTTGGGCCTTACCGACCTCTTAACCATACTACTCAGTTCACAGCCTGGCTGGCTGATAGAGCCATGGTCCTGCCGGATATCCAGAACAAGATCAAGTGTGCTAGCCCAGCCACCAAGGTGAGGGACGACGAAGACCTCATGACCTCCTGGGTGCTCTAAGACTCAGAGTGTCATCTCCTATTGTCCATGAGCAAGTGTAGCTGCTGCTCCAGACTTGTTTCTGAGCTAAAGCTCTCTTCACTAAATGACATCAGAAAAGTTGCTTTGACACCTCCAGAGCTTGGATGTCAAGCCATTAATTAGGAATAGGAGTAGTGAAACGTCCTCTCTCCCTACCTTGCAGGCAGTGCTGAATTAATAAAATATAGGTTCAGAATTTTCAAAGAATGCACTCAAAAATATTGCAATTGCTGTCTTAGTTTCAGAATATATTTAAGTAACTCTTTGAGTTGCTCTTTTCCCCCATATCCATCTTACTTGTTATTGTTTCAAAGTAGCTACAAATATAAGCATGTTTGAATTTCTGGAGCAATCTCTAAGGTGCGACGCCCAGTTGTCCTCCCACCCCATGCAGGATGAAGGGCATTGCCCTGTCTTCTCTTCCCTCCCTCTCACTGCCCACAACATCTCTGAGCCTATCCCCTCGGTCCTGTCCCCCAGTCACTCCGGTCCCCACACTCCAGTTGAAGGTCATGATGTCCTGCCTACCTTGTTCTTCATGTTTAGAGTACCAGGAGCACTGGTTTTACTTTGAAGCTAAATGGCAGTTTTACTTGGAGGAGAGAAAAATCAGTGAAGGCACGGAAAGTAAAGCCGTCTTTCCCGACCACTATGATGCAGAGGAGAGGGACAAGGTAAGTCTTGCTGCATCCCAGACGGCAATAGGAGAATAGGAGCTGTCAGGGGCCCACTGCCCAATGGGTCTCACGCTGGGAAACCACCCCACACCTGGACCATGTTATTGCCTTCCGAGCCCCATGTCTAGTGGGGCCTCCCCAAGCAGTAGAGATGGGCTGAGGGAGCAGTTGCAGGTGGGAGGGCCCGTGGAAGGCTTCTTTGTCCCTTTTCCTTACTCAGACAGAATGTCCCCACAGAGTGGCTTCCTGGACATGCTGTCCTAACAGCCTTATCACAGCACTCTCGATCCCTTGGCCCAGCTCTGTTTTTCCTCATAGACTTTACGGCTACCTGACAGGTTGTCGTGGGTTTGTTTATCTGTGGAATGTCTGTTTCTGGATGGCTGGAGTGGAAGAGCCATGACAAGTGAGCCTCTCCTGCTCGCTGTTCATCCCCAACCCTGGGGCACACAGGTGGTGTTCCATAGGTGTATAGTAAGTAAATGGACGACCAGGGCAGACCCCAGAAGCTCATGCTCTAAGGCAAATTGACGCAGTTCTACTTTTGGCCTGTGCCTCTGACCCATGGCTCTTTCTTCAGACCTACAAGAAATGGAGCTCGGAAGGTCGAGGGGGACGGCGGGGCCATGATGCCCCCATGATTGCCTATGATGCTCTTTTAGGAGCCAGGAACAACTGGACGGAGCTCTGCTACCGGGCCATGTTTCATGGAGGTGAGATTCCCTTGGAATTCCAGGAGGCCAGCACCCTCTTCTCATCCTAAAGCACCCTGTCAGGATGTCCAGGGCTTTGGGCATGAAGGACCCTCAGAATGTGTGTCCTTCCCTAGGCAGGGTGCTGGTCCCAGTGCGCTCGTGCACAGATATCACAGGCTGCAGGCAGGTTCACGGGACTGCCCCAGGCTGGCCTGTGAGCCTGAGCTTAGAGAGAGTGTGGTATTCAGGATGGCTGGAGTACAGGGCTCCTCTCCCTCATGGCTGCTGGTTCAAGAGCACATGGATTCCACTGGTGCTGGCCACACAGAGTTCTGCTCTCTATAATCACTGTCATCTTGTCTGTAACCTCTGCAGACTTTGCAGTCACAGAGAGGTTGCACTGTTAGAGTTAGGAGGCCCAGGGTTTGACTCATGCTTCGGGCCTGACTCTGTGAAGTGAGAGAGTAAGACCCACAGTGCAGGGCTATTGAGACAGTTGAAGACGAGGGGCCAGGAGTTCACCACTGTGCCTCTTCATAGCAGTGCCCTTTGCTCCACAGCTGAGTGAATTTGCCTCACTCCCTGGTGCCCATTTTCTCCTGTGAGTGTAAAGTAAGAAGATACGAAGTATATGTAACCTCTTCCTGGACATGGCTTCCATCAATATTAGATAACTATTATCAGAACGAGTGCTGTTCCTTGTGCCGAGATGGTAGAGATGCTTGCACTTCCTGGGGGACAATAGGGGGGCTTCTTTAAAAGCATGGAGGCTCCCAGTGGGAAAGGAGATGCCCAGGAAAGGATGACAGGAGCCAAGGGCAGCAAGGTGGCCATGAGCGTGGGAGAAGGGAGCCTGTAGAGGGACCTGTAGAAGTGATCCAAATAGCCCAGTGCCCGTAACTGAGAGCAAGAGGGAGGGCGGATGGGGGTCTTCGGGAGCAACAAACAGCCTGTGAGGGAGCTCAGCGTGGACTTTGGCCTCCCTGGAGAGCCTGGAGGGGAGGAATCTCAGGACAGCTCTCCCCTCAGGACAGCAAAGGCATCTGCACACTATCCTGAGTTGTCACGGTTTGGGGAGGGAGGGAGAGGAAAGCTGGCCCCTTTATTGGGGACAGCAAAAGCTGCCCAGGGCCTGTGCGGTGCCACCCAGAGCGAAACTGGGGTTTGGCACGAGGGAGGGTGGAGACGCTGAGAAAGCTCTGGTGCTGCTTTCTGTAGAAAGGTCAGTCCAGAAGAGTGTCTAAAATGGGGCCTTGGCAGGGGGTGTCTGGAGGCCCTGGCTAATGTCAAGTTCATGGTGATTCACCCCTTCCTGCTCTGCCTTTGAGACCTGAGGACCATGTTTCTGTTCCAGGTGAGAGCGGGGCCACAGGAACCATTGCAGGCTGCCTGTTTGGATTGCTCCACGGCCTGGCCGCTGTTCCCAAAGGCCTGTACCAGGACCTGGAGCATAAGGAGGAGCTGGTGCACCTGGGTGAAGTTCTTCACCGCCTGTCCACAGAGGAGAAGTAAAGCCCTTCTGCCATTGTCCCTTTCTAGGGAGCCCATTCCAGCTCCAAGTGCCCCAAGGAAGTCTACAGTGAGACTTACCTGACTCTCGGTTCACTGGGAATCCATGCCTAATTGTCCATGATTACATTTTAACTCTT